AGTACAATACTGCATATAAGAATATAGTATTGGAATTTTCTGGTGAAAAGGGGTCCGGACCCCCAGGACCCCCTTGGATCCGTCCTTGCTATACCTACTATAGCATCCCCATATTCACTTTGCCTAGATTTTTGGCAACTATCCTCACACCTCAGCGCTGGCGAAGTGAATAAACACACACACACATGCACACACGGTACACATCGCGCCCCTTCCTTCCTCTACCACAGATAAGCTGGTGCACAATTGGTTTTCCCTCCTCTTACAGTAACGTCACCTGCCCGTCTCCTCCCCCGCCACCAGTTCCCCTTCCCCTTACTGAGGTGAATGTAAGGGAATTTAGAGCTCACATTCCCAAGTGATATCCCCCATACATGACTGTGCTCGAGGTAGTTATATTCATGACTTTTGTGATAAATGAGGGTTTAGCTCACTGGTACAGCAACTGGTAAACACAGGCGGTGAAGGCATGTCCTGTGTACCTTTTAGCTCTTATGAAAATTGGTACAAGACTCATTTGATTACAAAATGTAAACAAACAAATCATTATTAAACATAACTTAGTGCATCATCTCTACTGTAAAATCTGAGCAATTTTCAAATCTGTTAATTTTATTCCTTGTTTCTGGTGGTTTTACCCACCCCGGTTCTTGTTTACTATGACAGTCGTATTTTCAATGTCTTCATGGCCTTGTTTGTCCGCACCAGATGTCTAGAATAAGATATTGTTTCTTACATTTTCTCCTTCCATCTAATTCCATTTTATGTTATTCCGTCTTTTCTCTTCTTTCTTTGTTTTAATTATCTTTGAACATTATTACATTCTTCTCTCAATCTTCCCTGTCCCTCAAACTTTCTGTCATTCCTCTCTATCGTTTCTCTTCCATCGTTCTTTACTCTTCCCTCCACTCATCATTCCTTTTCCCTTTTCTGTCATCCTTTCCATCATCCGTGTCTTCATCTTTCGTTGGTCCTTACTCTTTATCTACATTACCCCTTCTGTTTCTGCCTTGTTGCTCTCAATCAACGCCCCTCCACCACCGCCCTCCCCCCATGCTCTCCTCCCTCCCTCCTTCCCCGCGCCCCCAGATAGCATCAGAGGCCTGCCACACACTGCTCACCGTTATCTTAAAAATTCATCAGCCGACACTACAGGTGAGAATTTTAACACGCCATTCGCCCTAACTTGTAAATCTCCCGGAACGTAGATTTGCCGTCCACACACCTGCATTTTGTCCATCGTCGGCCGCCTTAGATCCCCGGTGATTGAGCGATGGCAGCTGGTTTTAAGCGGAGTCTCTAATACACGTTTTTTACAGTAATAAGTATAATTTATCCTGTAAAAGGGTGTTACGTGGCAGGGGAACTCCATTTGCCCGAGGAGAGACACTAATAACAGCTCAGGGTGTGGGTCCTGACGCTTTTGGCTAGTGAAGAAGTGAATGGTGTGGCTGGCCATGACGCGAGTCTGCTCCGTAAACGACGTGCGTCAAAATGAATGTCCTTATAATTAACCATGATATACGCGCCCTGAGGAACGCAGCTTTAGCACCGTTATTGCTAAGATAACTCGTGTGGCTAACAGCTGTCATGAAATTCAGCCGAAATGTTAGTTTTCTTCAAGTTGTCATTTACCAATCATCAGGTAGATGTAAGATTCGACGATCTGTTTCATTATTCCAAGTTAACATGTCTCGTATCCTGAACGGTCTGGTTCTGTATTGATCTCTGGGAACAACAAGGTGTGTGTGTGTGTGTGTGTGTGTGTGTGTGTGTGTGTGTGTGTGTGTGTGTGTGTGTGTGTGTGTCATCATGAGTCGTGACTCTTTCATTGATGCCTTACAAACACACGCACTAGATCAGGCCTGATCAAGTAAGGCGTCCTTTATATGGGATCTTGGTGCATTACTGAGACTTCACCACGTCTGTCTTGAGTGAACTAACTAACATGCATTGCGATCATCTCAGTCACTACGTAGAAATGGTCTCTTCCCTAAAGCGGTCATTTAAACCGAATAATTTCCTCCCGCCTGTTGTTGCCGGTATTAGAAAAGATATTTTTCCTCAAAGCGGCTTTATTAATAAAACTAGCCTCCTCCTTAGCAATATATGTACTAAACACAAAGAAGCTGTATACAAAGAGCCGACCAAGTCTCATGGCAGAGAGAGAGAGAAAGAGAGAAATTAGGTCATAAGTACTTGTCCTCACATCACCATCCCCATCCCAGCATTAATTCGTCACCGGCAGACACCAATAAGCCACTTGGTAATCTCTAATTCCCTGATTAAGTTAATTTGAATTCTGAGAGTAATCTTTTAATCCGATGTTTTAGATAATTTTAGAAACGCAACCATGGTTATGTTGGTGTGTCGTCGGCGGTGGTAAATTGGTAATGAGGTACAGCGTCGATTCGTGATCACACGTCCAGCACTGGGTAACTGAGGGAGGCTGCCAGCGTGTTAGAAGTCGGTTTTCTAAATGGAGGAGAGATATGATGTGTTGTGTATGGTGATGCTCTTTATACACACACACACACACACACACACACACACACACACACACACACACACACACACACACACACACAAAACGGTCGAAAGCCTGTAGAATTTAAATCGGAGGACTGTATAATAAACTGTGGTATAATTACAGTATACTGTCGTGGACACTGAATCTACCAGAGGTAAATTCAGTGTCCACGAATTTAGAGATGAATATAACTAATATTTTGTTTAATTGTGCAGTGCTCAGTAGTTGTCTGTAATAATAATAATGATGATGACGATAATGTTAATGGCAATTGTTTATTACAGTAGTCATTGTCGGAAGCCACTGCTAACTACACTGCGTCTCTCTAACAATGTACACATTCTCCATGTAACTCTATTACTCTCTGTACCGTCATATCACTCCTCCTGTACTTGGTTGGTGTGTGTTGTGTGTGTGTGTTTGTTTGTGTGCGTGCGTGCGTGCGTGCGTGCGTGTGTCGTGCCACAGTACCGTAGGCGTGTTGGTCTCTCAGGACGGAGAACGCGGCCTGACACAGTGTTACATTAACACCCTGTAATTTTCCCATCAGTGGTAAATGAGAGAGTATCCCTAGACCATCACCTGATAAACCAGAGGATGACGGACACTCCATCACGCCACGCGTCCCATTCTCTTGCACTTCATTTTTCCTGCCCCTCCCTCCTCCTTTTCTCTTCTCTTACCTCCTTATTCTTCCCCACCCCCTTTTCTTGCCTCCTCTCCCTTTTCTACCCTCATATTAACTCCTTTCCATTCTTATCCCCCCCTTCCTTCATTACACCCTGCATCATCTGTCCTTCCTCATCTCTACAAAATCATCTTTCCTTCCCTATCTTTGCAGCTTCTCTGTTTTATCCTCTTCACCACTAACCGGCTCGTTAGCCGCTTGGGCGGTCAATCATGTCTCTATTACGCACTGTTGGCAAGTTCTGGGCGTGTATTGGCTCCAGCAAGTATGTGTACGTGTGCCAGTGTTGGTCAAGTTCTTTGAATTAAGCTCACACTCGGTGCTGCCACAACGCTCTTTGGCAGATTGTTCCAAAAATTCACAACCCTTGCTCCAAAAAAGTTTGCCCAGACAGTTTTCTGAACTTGTGGCTTCTTTACCCTTATATTGTGACCCCAAGTGGTACGGGCATCCGCCAACTCCAGGTATGAACACTTGACTGAGTAATGTCCTCTGAGGTGTTAAATAAAATTATATTATCGCCCCCTTGCCCAATTATAGTATAAGCTAGGGCTAGACAATTGCAGACGTTCTAATCTCTCATTCCCCTCCCTACTGTTTCATCCCAAAACCGCATTCTCCCCATGTACTGTATAATCTCTTATTTTTCATATCAGTCGGTTGGGTGTTCAGTCATACGAGTATAGTTCGCCATACTGGAATCTAACTTGCTTTATGTTTATGCCCTGTTGTAGAGCCTCTCGAACAAGTTCATATTTAAATGTTATAGTTATCCCAACAATATCAATGAACCCGCTTTCTCTTGTATTATTTCATCATAACGGATGTCTGATGTTTTTTGTAATATACATTATTACTTTTATCCTCTTCACCACTAATCGAGCCGAAATAGCCATAATATTTTAATTATCTTCGTTAGTAAAGGAGTAGTGAGATATTTTACCTCAGTAGTTTATATATATATATATATATATATATATATATATATATATATATATATATATATATATACACACACACACGTGTGTTCGTATCTGGGTTTTTAACGGCCATAAAGATTGCTCTGAATTAAAGTTTAATCTGTGCTTTTGTTTACAGTTGCAGAGATTAATATAAAACAATTATCGGCCAATTGAGCTACACTAATTTGAAACGATGCTGCTGGGCAAGTTTTTCTGGAATGAGTTAAATGCTCACAGTCACAGCCAACTTTTTACTTGAACAAGAAAGAAAAACCTGTTATATTTTCTTATACATTCCTAGAACCACACAGCTGGATTACACTAATCAGGATAGTACCCCGTGATCCATGCCACACAAACGTGGAAGAGTAAAGTTTATAAGTAAATGGATTATTTATTTATTCCGAACTTTAAAATAACACTGTCTGGTGTGTACATGAGGGCGAAGGGGGCTGTTTTGACTTTTGTTGTTATAATATTATTGCTTTTCGACAACTAAAGTCTTGAAGCTCGCAACAGGTTAGTAATTACACTATTCCATCAACATTTCAAAATTGTGAGGTAAAACTCTGTTGTTGTCTGACTACGACAATAAGGTTAGGGGAACTTGAGGGCTAGGGCGCAGCTTCAGTGTAAACTGTGTATGTGACAGTAGGTCTCAGTGAGCGCAACTAGCAAGGCCTTAAGTTCATACTACTGTAGTCAGCATTCTGCAATCACACGAAAAAATTGCTTAACCGTAGCAGAATAGATGATATAATAATTTTGTATTTGTATAATCCTAACATTTTCAATTTTAATGCAATCATATTTTTTGCAGATCTCTGTATGACAACCAGATTATGACCCTCAACAACGGCACCTTCAGCCCACTCATAAATATCCAGACCATGTAAGTGATTAAACTTTTAATTTTACAAAGAGGCTAAAGACTCGGGTTGTGCTCTCGCTTTATTTGTATATATATATATATATATATATATATATATATATATATATATATATATATATATATATATATATATATATATATATATATATATACTGATTCCACAAGTATAAATCTTTTCAGGATAAATTATTTTTGAAATACATATTAAACAGTGATATCCCCATAAGCCGGAACAATTGGTGCAGAGCACTTTCGGGAATGAGAGATTTTTGGGTAACGAGACGACTCTCTCAAACCCGGAAAAAAATTCCTCATCCCGGGAATTTTCCGGTAACAGAGAAATGTTCTCGGAAGTTCTAGAAATTGCCCATTACATCATCTTTCAAACCCGGAAAAATATCCCTCATCCCAGAATTTTCTGGGTGACGGAAAATTTTTCTCGGAATTTCCAGAAAATGCACCTGATTTTCATCTCTCAAACCCGCAAAAATACTGCCCCATCCTCAGAATTTTCCGGATATCGGAAAAATTTTCTTGGAATTTTCTTAGAATGTGCCCCTCGGAAAATCTTTCCCAAAGCCGTAATTTTCCGGAAAATTCCAGCTTTGGGAACAATTTTCCGAGAGAATTTCAGTTCCAGCTATCGGAGAGTTCCAAGTTTGAGGGATTCCAGCTAACGGAGATATTACTGTACCGGGTACTTTTATTAGGTTAGGTTTTCTGTGGAAAGTGACAAATGGAAAAGAACATAACACTTTACATATTATCTAGTATTGTATTACATATATGGATATGTAAATATATTTACATATACCTGTAATGTGAAAATTTAGAAATGACAAAGATACAGTATTTAAGGAGAAAATTCTAAGATATTCTTTTATAATGCTCACGTTACGTTACGTTAGGTTTGAAAATTATTTATCAAAGAAAAAAGTATCTGTTTTGGGAGTCATGAAGTCAGCAGGAAAATTGCATTCAAAGACATATTTACGCTAGTATGTTTGACATGATCCATGAAACTGAAAAGTCCTGGGTAAAGAAAAGTACTTATGTAGAGCAGATACTGTATACCTTCTCCTTTCTGGTTTTTGCTTATTTGTTGTTGGACTAAACTCGAATATTCTTCATGTGTGGGTTTATGAGTTGGTGTGGCCAATAGGACTGGGAGATTTTGGCTACACTTATCAAACTTCTGCACAGGTAGAAGCCAATAGCATTCCAATGCATTTAACAGGAATTACAGCTCTTGTGGTAAATTATAGATGATTTGAGGAGTACTGTACTGTACCACTAGTTTTTCTTCTACTAGAAAAAAGTGTAATTCTGTACTGTACTGTACAGTACAGTAGTGTAAAGGTATAAACTTCCCATAACTGTCTCAGATTATAAGTCAGTGGATTTCGCAATAGCAGTTTAAGCTCATCACAAATTGGTGAACATGGCATTTTCCTAAACTGACACATGCCATTCCAGAAATGAAATGTATATGAATGTATGTACTGGTAGTAATTTTAATTTTGCTTGCAGGCACTTGGGAGCCAACCCGTTCGTGTGTGACTGTAATTTAGCATGGCTGGGAGCTTATCTGGCTGAAAATCCCATAGAGACATCAGGGGCACGCTGCCAAGAGCCCAACAAGCTATCCAGAAAGCCCTTTGGCAGACTTAGGCCAGAGAGCTTTAGATGTAAGTGAATTTTTTATTTCAGTTTGACTAGAATTAACTACAGAGATCTGTGGGCTGTACATGAAGGTCACATACTGCCAATATGATATAAAGGTATACCTGTATCTCACCTCCCCCAGTCAATAGATGTATGGCTAGCTATTCCTGTTCTTTTGTTCAGTCCCCCCCATAAAAAAATAAATAAATGAAAAAAAAAATAGGTACAGTAGTCATATTACACCACAGTAACAAAAGCTTTGCAAGAGAGAAAAAATGCTGGTTTAACTGACATTTGGTGTAAGTTACCCTAATGTTCATGAACTGGTGGGAGATTAGGTACATGTGTTAAAAAGTATTAAATCTTAATAAATTTAATAGAATAAAGAATATTGATCTACTTTCAGTTACCATAGTAATTTATGATTATCAAGAATGAGGAATGTTGAAATTGGTTGCACATTCGACATTGATTTTGAAGGAGTAATATAGTTTCATAACTTCAGGGCTAATAAAAATAATTCTCTATAAAAAATAATGTGAAATATATACAGTGATCCCTCGGTTAACGAACGCCTCGGTTAACGAAATTTCGGTTAACGAACTGCCTTCAATAAGAATCTTCAATTCGGTTAACGAACAAAAATTCGGTTAACGAATTTCTTACGAACCGACCTCAACATGTTTTCGCTTGCACTGGCCGGGCAACCAGCTTTAGTATCAGTCCGCCAATACATTAATCGGTTCTAGGGCTTAAATTCCTTACTATTTTAGTAAATATCAAGAAGTTTATACTATTCAATAATTTTAAAAGTTTAATAATTACTTTTTTAGTCATTTTAACAATTATTGAACATAATTGAAGGTAAAGAAACTAGTTTCTGGCGTGCCATCCAGCCTGTTAACACACCAGACAGGCGTTAGTCTCTCTCTGTTTTTAGTGGAGGTAACATCTTGCTTGAGACTCTCTTCAACTAAACGCTTTTTTTCTATGTTTCCAAGCAAATTATTGGTCATTTTGAAATATATTTTACATATTGACAATATATAATGCAGTGCAGTGTTGATTTAAAGAAAATAATCTTGAAATACACCAAGAGAACTGAAATTTTATGGGTGAAATGGTGCCTTGGGGTGACTTCTCTTCCACCCCAATGCCTTCTCTTCTTCCTTCTCCTCCACCCCCATTCTAATTCCCATCATCATCATCCAGGAGCCTTCTACATACAGTACACACCTCAAAGTAAGTGAAATTTTCTACCATTTTAGTTGAATTTAGGAAATTTTCGGTGAGCTGGAACCAATTACCCAAAAACCCATTGAAACAATGGTTTCGGTTAACGAACTTTTCGGTTAACGAACAACCTGCTGGAACGGATTGAGTTCGTTAACCGAGGGACCACTGTACTGTATTGAAGATTAATAAGATATCAAAATTATTTAAATTTTGACTATGATTAATGAATCTTAAAGGTACAGGTATAGGACCATTTATCCAGCATGCTTGGGACTTGTCAGGTACAGGGTAGGTTTTTTTTTTTTTTTTTTTTTTATTAGGGCCAGGCTTAAAATGTACAAATTATACAATAAACCTTCTGTAACTGGCTGTGAAGCCTCAGTTCAGATCACTACATTCACCCCCAAAAGTAGCTTTAACTGTTACACTGTAACATTAAAACTTAAAATATTAGTCATATAAATAGCAAAAACGAAAGCAAATAAATACTGTAGTACTGTATTGTACAGTAATAATGAAAGCATAAAAAGAGCAAAAATAATGCAAATTACTATACACACTGCATCACAATTGCCTTACAAATGCAACAGTGTCCTTAGCAACAGTGCTGCATCCAGACCCCCAACCTCTCCACGGTGGAAACCTGCAGATACGTAAAACATTATACTTCATGATTATTATTTTGTATTTCTTTTTTGTACTTTAGGTATGTAGGATTGTGTGTGCATGTAACTGATTAAAAAAATATATTGTTGAAAAATACTGTACTTTATACTGTACCTTATGATAATTTTTTTTCTCACTTATTGTGCATAAGATTGAGTGTGTATGTAAACTGGATAAAGAAATTGAAGAAAATTGTAGATTGTATATCAACCCAAAATTACAAATTAAAAAATAACCATAACATAATATGCAACTAACAGGTTGAGAATGGTTGGCAATATCCCCGCTCGGCATGGAAATTATTTTGCACTCATTTTAAATCATTTGTTCCAGAACATAGCCAATTTTTGGAGCATTCCGGATACTGGGGCACCAGATAAACGGCCCTATACCTTTACAGTATTAAAAATCTCAATGAAGATGACCCAGCGATTTACATTCTTCTGTACCTCCACTTTCATAAAACAGGTACTAGTGAATTGAGGGCCAAATATAGTGGTCGGTGTGATGAGGTTGACCTGTGCCCCGCTCAGTGTCGCTGTGAAGGCACCAGGGTGGATTGTTCAGGACGTGACCTGACTTCGGTACCAAATGACTTGCCTGCTGTCACGACTACTCTGTGAGTCACCCCATGAAGCTGATATCTGAATGAAGAGTCTAAATCAGCACATCATTTTTGCACCAGAAAATAATTTGAGTATATACCTTAGAAGTCCCATTGCATCATACAGATTTGGAATTTATTGCTCAAGAGTACTATACTAAAGCCAGTTCTTTTATATCCTGTTGAATTATATTATGTATTATTCATTTCATATGAATTTTGTGGAATAACATTTTCTCTTTCTACCTGTAGAGATCTCAGCTACAACCAGCTGTTTTCTCTGGATGGGTCCTCAAGCTTCCAGCGGCTAAAGGACCTGCATCGTTTGGATCTGTCACATAACCGTCTCACTAGCTTAAGTCCTGAGTTCTTCAGGGGTACAAGGGCATTAACCCACCTGTGAGTACTGCAGTGTGGGCTGTAGATCTTGGCTTTGTTTTCACATGTTGAAGATTTGCAGATGCTTTTTTAGATTGGTGCTTTTGCGGAGGAGTGGAGAAGCTGATGCAGGTACCACAGTAATAATTGTCACTCCAATTACAATACAATACTACAGTACTTTTAGATATTTTGCTGATTAGATTTAGTGGGATGGTATTCATTAGATGGGTTAGTTCTGAGGCATTTTACAATATACACTTACTCACTTCAGTGAAAATGATGCATCAGTGAATCATTGTAGACAGAACATATCTACATATTATACAACTTGTCTCTCTCCACTCTGTATATGATAGAATGGTTTGGATTTCTTTACCAGTGATCCACTTTCCTGATTTCCTAGTACAATACAGTATAGTATTAATTAACCAACGTCAACGCCCTTGAGATCCAGTAATTATTTCTTAAAGCTCTAAGCTTAAAGTCTCTTGTTACAGCAATGTGTCCTACAACAAACTGGTACAGATGCCTGAGAGCGTAGTGCGAAGGCTCAGGGCCCTGACCCAGCTGTAAGTCGCGGGCCTGCAAGGCGACTCATAGCTTTTTCTTGATGTAGTGCTTGCCATTCTTGTTGTAAATGTTCCTAGGAGAACGTGGTGCTGTATTTAAGGAGGGTATTATACACGAGGTGATCTTTTGGGTGCATTATACTAACTGACTTGAGCCTCTGCCTCATAATGACCATCATCAGGCAGCACTATTCTTCAAAGTGGGGGTCAGACTGGGATTTGGAGGATCCTGCTGATAATCATTTTTACTGTAACTAAGATGGAATAAAAATTAGCGAGATCTAATTATGTAATAAGCTTCACCTTTTATTATATCACTGCAGAATGTTCATACAAAATATCTATATTATTTTGTTAATAAATTGCAGATGAAATACTTGCACAGCTATTGAGTTAAAAGATTATTTTCAAGTACCAAGGAAAACTAAACTACCTACTGTAGGCATGAAGGGGAAGTAGTAGGGGCAAAGGCATTTTTCCCCTACAAGATAGGTTCTGGGCCTCCACACCTGGTCTGTCCATTTGAAATACAAACATAACTACTCATCAAGCTGTGGTGATGGGGAGCTGCTTTGTGCTTAGCTACACAAGCCCACTGTTATGCTCAATTACTCGCCCTTTCAAGATGAATGAGCATGAATTTTGCTCACTTGTTGAAGTACAGTTTATTTAATTCTTACAATATTACTTTACAATGTTTACCTGTAAAAAAAAAACAGTACGTAATCAGCTGACTGACTTCAACTATTGAAACTCCTGACTGATATACAGGCATTAGATTTTTAATTTTTGATAAATGGCTATAGCAACAACAACAAAATTTAAAATTATATGGTACAGTATAACATTATTCTCAGAAGAAAACAATCAAATTACTGGATGTAGCACAATATAATATATGTGAAACCATTTTGTTCAAGAAAGTACTGTACTATACATACATCAGCTCAAGAAACCTCCAGGCCATTAATTTTGCTGTACAATGGGTCCAACACTTGAACATTTTGATGTTTAGTAGGGAAATTAGTTAGTAAACCTGCCCTAAAAGCTTTATGCTAACTAGTGAATGAATGTGCTTCTCCTAACCACACTAAATAATAACTTAAAACAGGTTCTTATGCTTAGATACTCCTGTTGTGATTGTTTCCTCTGTTAGATACTTCTGTTGTGATTGTTTCCTCTGTTGAAGATGCTCATTTGTAATGGTGGATGAATTTTTTCCTCCTCTATCTTTATGATAAGGAAGTACCAAATACTCATATTTTTGCTGTCATAGAATCAACAGAGAAATAGTCCTTCATGCATTGTGTAGTTGAAGGAAAAATTGGATTTCCATTTTCTTTTTCAGTGACCTATCCGGAAACCACATATCTTGCCTCTCCAGGAAGATCATAGAACACCTACCCACACTTACAAATCTGTAAGTGCACTAAAAGTTAAACTGTCTTGATTACTTAGTTGCTTTTAAGCACAGAGTTTAGCAGAAGTATGGATGGATGCACAAATTTGTGCAATAATGATGGTAGTGTATGCTATTTGCAGAAAATATCAAATGCAAATAATGATAATACTGTACAATGTACTATATTGGAGTTAGTTACGTATCCATATTCTCAGAGTAGGTTGCAATAGTACCCCTGTATGTTGTTTTTCTTTTCCAGGTCTCTCATAATGTATAAACTTTCTGTATTATGTTTATTTTAGCTGTTATTGTATCTTACCATAATAGGCTTTACTGTTTATGGGTATTAATTATACTCATTCTATTTATAAATGGATTGTTATTGTTGCAGTGATCTTAACATATTTTGGAAATGAAGTAAAACTGCTAAATGAGGTCATGTTCTTATAAAATGAAAGTTTGGGGCATCTTTTCCTCTGATGCATTCATTGTAATGCATTGAATGCAAATCTGGTGGTGAGGCAAAGTAAAATTAAGTGTAAATGTACAAAAAAATATAAATGAAATTTTAAATTCCATATAAAGAACATGGTTTCATTTGTTTTGGGTTAAAGAATATAGGACTACTTATATCAGTTCTGACAAAAGACAAACCAAGCCATCCATATCTAATTTGAAAATTCTTGAAATATATTTATCATGTGAGATAAATCTTGGTTGGTTCATTTTAATTGTTTCAGAAATTATTGAGCCAGTAAATATATATGTATGTGTGTGTGTGTGTGTGTGTGTGTGTGTGTGTGTGTGTGTGTGTGTGTGTGTGTGTGTGTGTGCGTGCATGCGTGCGTGCGTGCGTGCGTGATAAACGGTTTATTAATAGAGTTGCAGCCGGTGGCTGAAAATATACAGACTTACATTTGACATAGACATAATGTTATAATATGCATTGAATACATTTACAGGGCTGTACAGTACATAAATCAGGAGTTGTTTATTATTTTAACAATAGATGGGATGGTGCTGTTCTTATATATATCGGTGCGGGCTCTTATGGGCTGAATTTTGTTGTAGTGGCGGACTGCGCGTGTTGGGTGGGGGGCTGCAGGTGGCAGGAGGTGGCGATGGCGAGTGTGGTGAAGTAGTCCACGGCCAAACCTTTCCAGTGCTTGGTGGTGGAGGTCACTGGTGTGTGTGTGTGTGTGTGTGTGTGTGTGTGTGTGTGTGTGTGTGTGTGTGTGTGTGTGATTTTAGTTAACTCGTTCATCAAAAGAAGGATTTCATTTTGCACTTTACATATTTCTTCTTGATGCATAACACAGACAATACTTTGTACTGTAATATGAATTTTTCCTAGTTTTAGGATATATACAAAAATATCTAATAATTTGTCTTCTTTGGTACATTTACTAATAGGGATATGTCATCCAACCCATTAAACTGTGATTGTCGAGCCTCTTGGTTAGTTGACTGGTCACTACAGAGAGAGGAATCAAACCCTCCAACATGCCACCTTCCAGCGACACTCAGAGATACTCCAGTTACAAAGGTTTTGTCACAGCTTCTCACTTGCCATGGTTAGTATGTCTCTTCTTATGATTGCAAGGTTTATTGTAGTTTAGATGGTTAAGATGATGTAAAATACACTTTGATGATGAATCTCAATGAATTAGTGTCATTTGCATTTTTTACCCTCTGGTTGGATAGCATTTCTTCATCCCAATTAGGTTATTAATCATTACCGATACTTAATGTGATATATTGACTATTTTGTCTTTCTGTAACATAGAGATATACTTTGCCAAAGAAACCTATTTGGTTCCTGCAGGTGAAGGTAATGAAGAAGACTGCAATGGATCTGTATACTGCCCACCAGAGTGTCAGTGTCGAGGCACAATTGTCCGATGTTCAAGGGCTCGCCTCTCACAGATACCCAGAGGCATCCCACCTGATACTACAGAGCTGTAAGTGATAATGATTTTGATCTAAATATCATCTCAGTCTTCATATATGCTTTTGATTTATGTGAAAGAAAAATTAGACCAGATATTCCAATGGAAATTTTTTTTTTAAGTTAAGAGATTGCAGAACACTTTCTTTTTATCCTCTTTGTCACTTGTCAGCTCACTAACCAGTTGGGCAGTTGGTCACTTCTCTGTTATGTAATCTTGGCAGGTACTAGGAATGTATAGGCGCCTAAATATACGTGAACATGTTCCAGTTTTATCAAGCCCAGACTCCAAAGAGTTCACATGGAGTTTTGACAACATTCTATGGCAGTTTATTCCACATGTTCTTAGTTTTTACTCCAAAGAAGTTAACTCTTGAGAGTTTTCTGTACTGATAGCTTCTTTAACTTGAGGCTGTGATATTGTGTGGAACAGCCATTTACTGACCACTGATATGTACATTTGACTGAGTAATTTCCTTTGAAGGGGTTTATAAATTTCTACAGGTATTAATTTGCTCCTGGCCCTGCTGTGGTATACATAAGGTACCAGGCAATAGTAAATGTTCTAGTCTCTTGGTAAATTGGGTATCTGAGTTCCAGGACCAGATTGTTCGCCCTTCTTTGGATGTTCTCAGTCAATTGACAGCCCTTAGCATAGCTCAGAGACCAAGCAGAATTACAATACTCCATGTGAGGTAGCAGTGCTGTACTGGTGCAATTTTGAAAATCTCTGTTAAAGACAGACCATCTATGCATATGATCTTCGTATTATTCCAACAACTGGAGTTTATTAGCAAGATTCACTTTTTTCTCTCTATGATCTTGATAACTTCAGTCCATTGCTATCATAAACACCCATATCTTTCTCACATCCCGTTTCAGTTAGGGCAATGCCTTTATTATGATGGGACATGTGATAGGATTTATTACTATTAGCATGACAGAGGTACACCCACTAAAAAATTATTCGGCACAAGTGTCATATTGTATCACGCCGAAAGCAGGGCCGGATTTAGCTTAATAGGGGCCTGAGGCACAGATCAACTTGGGGGCCCCTACCCTCAAGGTTATATATATATATAGCAAGAACAAAATATACCAAAATTTATCAATGATTTCATAATTATTAAGCTTCTGCAAAATAACACATTCAATGTTCATAAGAGACAAAAAATTGAGACGTTACTAGTACATCATTGAACGAAGTTCATGTTTTATATGCTTCAACTTCGAGAAAGTTTGGATTTGGGGGCCCCTTAGAGTCGGGGGGCCTGAGGCCAGTGCCTCAGGTGCCTCATGGTTAATCCGGCACTGGCCGAAAGGGTGCCGAATAATTTTTTAGTGGGTGTACATGATACTTGTACACACACACACACACATGTATACATGCACTATGCATACATGTACACCCACTAATAAATTATTCGGCACCCTTATGGCTTGATACAATATGACATGGGTGCCGAATAATTTTTTAGTGGGTGTACATTCTCTTGCATCTCACAGTGTTCAATCTCAACATCCATTCCCTTGACCATGCTTGCAACCAATAGAGATTGTTCTGTAATGTTCTATAGTCCATTAGATTTTTTATTTCCTTGAATACCGTAACTTAGTATCATCAGCAAACATTTTTATGGAAGAGTGAATACATTCTGGCATATCATATTGTATATGAAACAGACAAACATCAGTTCAGTCATAGCAACTACTTTGCAGTACACTTGGCAATTTCGTGCCATCGATCATCACACAATGTTTATGACCCTAAAGATAGTAACTAATCCGTGGTAGTATATTCCCCTAAACTGTGCAGTATTCCATATCCTTTTAATTTATTTTAATTTTCAGCCTTTCATGGGGTATTCTGGAAAATGCCTTAGCAAAGTAACAGTACAATACGTGTTTATGTTTTCGATATTGCCACCATATTTTAGGATCTGTGACCATAATCAAGTAACTCCAGTATCTGTGTCTAGCAGGAATATTCAGGCTGCATACTTGCACTCCTTTACAATGTTGTTCCATTGTAGAAGATCTATCATGGTATTCAGTATAGGTACTGTAGTACAGGTATTCTCTTAAAAAATTTTCATATTGTTCAGGTTAAGCCTGTAATTATTATGCAATGGTGATAGGACTCACATATTGTATGCTAATTTCCAGGCATTAGAAATCTTTTTGATTTGTATTCCTGCAGAACAAGATACTAAAGGGTTCTGAGAGTTTTTTACACAACTCTCTTAATATGTACACTAGCTTAGAACATTCCCTTAACCTACCTAGTCTCAAGCTCCATTCAAATGTCTTAGTTTCAACATGATCCACAAGACATGTAAAGTGGCATGTGCAAGAAGCTTGTATGAAATATTACTACAGTATAGTATACTGTTTTAGTTTCAAACCTTGATTTATGTCTAATACATTATTGATGAGTTATGTGCCTATATACTCTACTTATAATGAGAGTTGGAGAAATGATCAGTGTATTTCTAAAAACATTCTGTAAACCATATTTGTACTGTAACATCAAAAATCAAGTCAACAAGTCATTGTATATGTAGGTAGCTGCAATAATACAGCAAGCCAAATATGATTTAAAATCCCAAAAGAAAATTGTGATTATGTGAAGGTCACGATTCCCACTTATATCTACCCCTGGTCTCATGATAAAATTACTAATATCTACGTGGTTTTCTATAATATTTGTAGATACCTGGATGTGAATGAAATAAAAATGATTGATCCAGAGCGTTTGAAGCATCTTAAGGCTCTCAAAAGACTGTAAGTATATAATATTAACAGTACAGTTACTTGTATTTCTAGTTGAATAAAGAATTAGAGTAAAATTAATTTTATCTAATAACAAAATAAGTTTGATGATGACCTCTTCATATTTTTATTTTTATTTATTTATTTGTTTCGATAAAAGGTAGTACTGTACCTGTAGTATAATGGACCCATTGGCCTCAGTTCCCAGAAAGGTATCACCATTTGAATATTAAAGACAGATGGTTCTCATTTTACCTACATTCACTATAAAACACCTTGCGCTCGACCACAGTGTGCTTTATGTGAATACTATTTTCTTATTCACTTATCTCTATTGATTCCCTTCAAATGCATTTTTTTCTTGCTTTCAACCCTCTATTTATTCCTTTCTAAATACATACTCGATGAAATAATCCTAATCTATTCCACACATCCTTGTTCACAATGCAATCTTTCCCAACTTCTTTGTCTGCCACTGTCTTTGTCAAATTCCATATCAAATATTCTTTTGGTTGCAGTAGCAGTGTTGTCATTCCATTTTTTGTTTTTATGAATTGCTGTACAGTATCATACATAATAATGAGATGTAGATAAAAAAGTAGGGACTTGCCTGTATTGGGTAATTGATTCAATAATGTTAAGTTTTCTAATTAATGCTTTTTCTCCTCCCAGTGATCTCAGCAACAATCAGATTACAATTCTCTCCAATAAGACATTCTCAGAACTCACCCAGTTATCTAGTTTGTGAGTATGAACTCTTTTTTTTTATCTACTTTGCATTGCTCTAATGAGCATATTTTCATCATCTAGACATTTTTTTTATCTACTTTGCATTGCCCTAATGAGCATATTTTCATCATCTAGACTTTTTTCTTTTTAAGTAACCTGTAGAGAGAATGTTCAAGTTTCAAAAAATTGAAATAAACATGGAAATTTCAGGTTTGAAGTACAACAGTATTTTTTTTTTGTTCCTACATGATAATGTTTGCACACATCAATAATTTGATGTTGAACTGTAATCAAGATTTCTTCCTCCAGAATTGTGTCTTACAACAAACTTGGCTGTATGGAGAGGGACTCTCTTCTAGGCCTCAGGGCACTCAGGATCCTCTCTCTGCATGGCAACGATGTCTCCTTTATCCCAGAGGGAACATTCAGAGATCTTGACACCATAACTCACATGTATGTAAAGAGTCCATAAGCTGAGGGTATGTGAAAAATGTTCAGTATATAATGCGACTTTTCCGGTAAGGCAAACTGTGCCTCTATTTAACAACACATAAAAAAAATATTAACATGCCATCCCACTAAAAATGTGGGAAATTCAGTCACAAAAGGCCCCCCCAAAAAATATATGTAGTGATTCAATTGACCGTACCCCTAACAAACTTGAGTAGGTAGGTATCCGTTGTTTAGCGATCGGGATGCGTTCCTGAAAAATAGATCACCAAGTGAATTGATCACTGAGCGAACAGAAACACGAAATAATATCTTAAACAAGGGATAACGAGGAATAATATCTGTGGAGATGGCACATAATTGTGTAGCCAAGTCACCAACTGACCGAAATGCCACCAGTAGCACTCAGAGCGGGTGAGGCTCAGCTGTTAGAATTGTTATTGTTCAACACATAATTTCTGGTAGATATACGTAATTATCTTCATTTTCTCTTTCTCTACTACATGTACACACAATTGTTCATGCAGACTGAGCAAAAAATTAAGAAAATAATTATCATAAGGTCGGCAGTTAGCCAACAGAGCATAGGAGGGGGAATGAGGAGGAGCATGGGGTGCTACCAGCTGTTTACTGTCTCGTGCCCCTTGTGGAGTGAAAAGGTTGCCAAATGGTGAAATGAGGGAAAAGACATAGAATTTGCAATATAATAATAAACTTCTGTACACTACAGTAAAGTGGTAAAGTGACACTCACTAAGCCCTTGTTAGATGCAAGGTCATCATGTGTCCTCTCCGTGGCTGGAGGACTACTGTTGCTAGGGTAATCACTCACTCTTGGAGTCGGGGGGCCAAAAGGCCAAGCACTATTGCTCAAGGACTTGTGAGTGAGCTTGGCCTTCCCTGATGAAGAAAACGAAACAGTAGTACCCTTACAGGACCACCAGTTTGGTGGGCCACCAGACTGGTGGTCCTTTGGATATTTTCAATCAACTGACAGTCCCTAGTTTAGTTGCTTGATATACCTTCTTCTCACAATGGCCCGAGAACTTCAGTTCATTGTCAAGATACACACCCAAGAAGTAACATAAACTATATAAAGAATACAGATAACAGAAGTATAGTTAAAGGAATAAGAGAAACTGAAAGAGATAAATTACTTGGAGAAGTGAAATTAGAAAATAAAACTTCAAAACAAGTAGAAAGAAGAGAGAGAAAATAAATAGAATGAAAATAATTATTCTAAATGAAGTGTAACTTATTTAACAAGACTGATATCAAGTTTGAATGAATATCACATGATAACATATAACTAGCACTGGAAAAGATACCAAGTCTTCATTTTAATTATTCCTTAAATTTGTAAATGCTTTTCTTCCAATGATTCACTTACAAAAGCCTCTTACATCACTTACACTGGTGAAAGATTAAGATTTTGACAAGCATTACCATCCTGATATACAGTATAAATTTATGAAAGTACTATTTATTGTGACTTGATGCAATAATACTGTGCTGTAATTAAAAACTAATTGATAAGGAATTTGTTGAGGATATCCTGTGCTGTATATTCAAGATGGGGATATGAGACAGTTTTAGTGGATTTTTCTACTTACTGCTGTCCTTTTTCAATGACTTTATTCACTTGTTTTACACTTCTCTTTCCTTAATATCCCCCATCTTTGAGACTACTGTACCACTTGATATAACACACACAAAATTGAGACACGAGTAAAGTTGTTTAATAGAGTCACTGTGTGATTTTATCAAGATTTATCTTATCCACGTTTTCATTGTGGATCTACATAATATGTATATACAGTACTGTATATATATATATATATATATATATATATATATATATATATATATATATATATATATATATATATATATATATATATATATATATATATATATATATATATATATATATATATATATACAGTACATACATACAGGTTGTACCTCTCTAGTCCGGCATTCTGTGGTCCGGAAACTCCCGTGGTCCGGAACGATTTTAGTTTGTCCAATAGGTAGATAGGCAGCTTTTTTTTTTTCTTTTTACTTATCTGAATTATTATTATTATTACAGGAGTATTAAATTTTTGCCCCTCAGGCCCCAATGTGGGTCAGTGACCTATGCCCGGGTGGGCTAATCCCCTTAAAAAAAAAACAAAGCCGCGGGAAATTAAGGTTTGTTTACATCCGGCAGTTCGGCTGCTCTCTCTCTCTGCTTGTCTATACAGAGTACAACATTTAACCCTTCAATATATATGAGCAGTAAATAAGTGTTGCTTTCATATTCTTATGTAGAGTAATGACGATATGTTTTCACATGTGCGCACTTACATACGCGCAGTCTCACTTTTTTTTTACCATTAATGGTTAGCTACTTATATTGTTCCATTTATTAACATTAAATAACATTACAGGTACTTCAAACAACCATATTAATTTTTTTATATTAATTTTACTACAGCTAAAATCGGGGTCTTATTTTCTTCAGTTTTATATGTAGAACCAATCAGTCACTGGTTTTGTAAGCTTTAACATAAACAATGTCGGCAGCCGTCTTGTCTCCTCTAATATTCCACGTATTATTAATAAATTGTATTGTTAATTTTGCACACACAAACATTAATTCAATAAAAGCTCCTTTGTTTCCCTTTTCCCTGTGTGATTTTATCAAGATTTATCTTATCCACATTTTCATTGTGGATCTACATGAACTATATATACTACTGTAATATATATACAGTTGTGTATATATATATACAGTCAACCCTCACTTTACGCGGTCCCACATTCCGCGTTTCCACGTTTACGCGGTAACCTGCCAGAACCCGGGATGCTCACTGTACCCCTTTACGCGGGTGAAGTATAATTTTTTTATTTAGCTCATAAAATTCATACAAATTACCCGGCCAGAATATAATTTACATTGCTGGAATTCTTACAATTTGATGATCATTTTGAATATAAACATCATAGATTTTGCATTAGACATACAAATTTTAGATCTAATGAAAGTATTTTGTTTACTCTGAGTAAATATGTTATCTTTTGTGCAAAATATATGACATTTATATTCAAAATATTCCTGGTCTTACAAGGAATCCAGCAATGTCAATTATATTATCCTAACTTTAGTTTGAGGTATTATTTATTACTATACCTTAAAATCTAGTGGTTTTCCCCCAAAAATTTCTCAGAGAGGGAAGAGCCAGCGAGTGTAGTGTGAGAAGAGGGGGAGGGACTTGAGTCCATTATTTGAATGGACATTAACTTGGCGACTGTATTTCTCTATTTCTCTTAAGTATTAATTGTGTGCATGTACCATCATAAAATTAAGATGTTATTTTTACTAGAACATAGGTATTGTGTCGGAAAAAGTGGAGTTTGGGGTCAGCCGGTCTCTATTTCATTTAATCCCATATGTTATGTTGTTCACTTTACGCGTTTCTCACTTTCCGGTACCCTGTGGGTTGAATTAACCGCGTAAAAGTGAGGCTTGACTGTATATATATATATATATATATATATATATATATATATATATATATATATATATATATATATATATATATATATATATATATATATATATATATATATATATATATATATATATATATATATATATACTGTATATATATATACACTGCTAGTCATGATTACTTTTACAGAGCTCTTGGAGCCAACCCATTATACTGTGACTGCTCACTAGCTTGGCTGGCCAAGTGGGTGAAAGGGGATTTTGTTGAGCCAGGGATTGCCCGTTGTGCTGACCCAAGACCTATGAGGGACAAACTTGTACTTACAACACCACCTGAGATGTTCACCTGCACAGGTAAGATTTATGAACACTTGTGTAATTCCTCAGACCAACTACTGTATTCATTAATTTGAATACAGGTATCTAATTTCACTTTTTTGTGTATTGACAGCACTCCTAATGAACATATACAGTAATCAATCCCCTGTGTTATTAAAGGATGCATCCTTAAAAAGTCGACCATAACTTGAATCTCCATGTATCCATAGTTTGCTTCCCCGCTTATACGTGTCTGATGCATGGGTCTTGCTGTTGCCTGTGCCAACCCACCCAGCATCTCTCGCTAGCTCAGCATATATATCACTCGTCTGTGATCATTTGAGAAAAATATAAATAAATTCAATACAATATAGACAATGATCACTATATGATGGGGTTAGGGACATCAAAAAACCATCGCTAAGTGATCGATCGTACAGTATATTGCTATACAGTGATATCTCTGTTAGCTGGAACAATTGGTGCAGAGCACTTCAGGGAATGAGAGATTTATGGGTAACAAGTTGACTCTCCCAGTGCCGGAAAAACCTTTCATCCCTGGAATTTTCCAGGTAACGGAAATTTTTTTCGGAAATTCCAGAAATTGCGCATTACATCATCTCTCAAACATGGAAACATATCCCCCATCCCAAGAATTTTCTGGGATTTTCTGGGTACGAGTGGGTGTACTGGAAAAATTTTCAAGGAATTTTCGGAAAATGAACCTGATTTTCGTCTCTCAAACCTGGGACAAAACCTCCCCCATCCCTGGAATTTTCCGGGTACTGGGGAAATTTTCTCGGAAATTTCCAGAAAATGTGCCCCTTAGAAAATCTTTTCCAAAACTAGAATTTAGGGGAAAATTCCGGCTTTGAGAACGATTTTTCGAGAATTTCAATTCTGGCTATTGGAGAGTTCCTGGTTTGAGGGAGTCCGGCTAACAGAGATATTACTGTATTATTAACTTCTGAGGAAAAATAGGTTCTGTTCTTGAGACCCCGAAGAGCCCAAAAATCCTGCTGGTATAATGATTAAATAATGTCTAAATAACTCAAATAATTTATAAATAGGCATAAATTCAGTAAATTTATACTGTACAGAATAAAGACAAAAAAACCAATAAATTTATAACATTAAATATATTACTGTATTTTTTATTTTCATTTTTCATTTCCCTTACATGTTTTGTATGTGTATAGTACAGGTACTAATAATAAGTTGTTATCCCCCAGCTGCCAGTACGAGTAGGTATAATGAATTTTATTTTAGCTATTGTTTATTTTTATTGAACTTGTTTGTGTGTGTGTCCCTTCTTATGAGAATATGCAAGCACATACAAGTTGGAAATTATAATGTACAGTACAGTATATCTTTCTGTACTGTACTGTACTTTGAGAAGTATTATATTAAGAATTTCACTGAATGTCTCTCAGGAAGAAGAATCATTCAACAGAGTCAACTGCTGTCTTTATATACACAGTTTTACCCCGCCTAACGCGGTTTCACTTAACGCGTTTTCGCATATACGCGGTGCCTTGCCAAAGCTGAACTTTCACTTAACGCAGATTTTTTCCACATATACGCGGTGAGTGTCCGAGACGCTATTTTTAGATTTGCCCCACCCGCCACCCTGCCTGACTGCCTGTTTTAGCTCATAAAATTCATACAAATTACCAGGCCAGAATATAATTTACATTGCTGGAATTCTTATAATTTGGTGATCATTTTGAATATAAACATCATATATTTTGCTTTAAACTTACAATTTTTAGATAAAAATTTTTCTCTAGGTAACTATGGTATCTTTTGTGCAAAATATATGACATTTATATTCAAAATATTCCTGGTCTTACAAGGAATCCAGCAATGTCAATTATTTTATCCTAACTTTAGTTTGAGGTATTATTTATTAAAATTTAGTGGTTATCCCACACATCTCCTTGGGATGGTTGGTGGAGGGTGGGGGGGAGGGAGGGACCAACCGACCATCTGTTACCCTATGAAGAATTATTATTTTTTTTTATTAACTGAAGATATTTGTTTTAGCTCATAAAATTCATACAAATTACCCGGTCAGAATATAATTTACATTGCTGGAATTCTTATAATTTGGTGATCATTTTGAATATAAACATCATAGATTTTGCTTTAAACTTACAATTTTTAGATAAAATTTTTCTCTAGGTAACTATGGTATCTTTTGTGCAAAATATATGACATTTATATTCAAAATATTCCTGGTCTTACAAGGAATCCAGCAATGTCAATTATATTATCCTAACTTTAATCTGAGGTATTATTTAATACTAAATGTTAAAAACTCTGGAAGGGAGGATTGGTGGGGGGTGGGGGGGAGGGTTGGGACTGACCGCGCGGTTGGAAGAGGGGGGGAGGCAAGGTGGGGTACTTTGATTGACAGATAGTGTCGTGAAGATTATTTTTTTTTTATTAACTGAAGATATTTGTTTTAGCTCATAAAATTCATACAAATTACCCGGTCAGAATATAATTTACATTGCTGGAATTCTTATAATTTGGTGATCATTTTGAATATAAACATCATATATTTTGCTTTAAACTTACAATTTTTAGATAAAAATTTTTCTCTAGGTAACTATGTTATCTTTTGTGCAAAATATATGACATTTATATTCAAAATATTCCTGGTCTTACAAGGAATCCAGCAATGTCAATTATATTTTCCTAACTTTAGTTTGAGGTTATCCCACACATCTCCTTGGGACGGTTGGTGGGGGGTGGGGGGGGGAGGGAGGGACCGACCGACCATCTGTTAGCCGGCTGTGTAGTGTGAGAGGGGGAGGGAGTTGAGTCCATTATTTGAATGGACATTAACTTGGCGACTGTATTTCTCTATTTCTCTTAAGTATTAATTGTGTGCATGTACCATCATAAAATTAAGATGTTATTTTTACTACAACATAGGTATGTGCCTTCAAAAAGTGGAGTTTGGGGGTCGGGCCGGTTTCTATTGGAATTAATCCCATATGTTCTGTTGTTCACTTAACGCGGATTTCACTTAACGCGGGACCCTCTGGGTTCAATTGACCGCGTTAAGTGGGGTACAACTGCATATGTCATTGTCACACATATTCATAATACACAATAGTTTACAAAAGGAAATTAATAGAAATAATTTTAAAATTTTGTAAGTATTTATTACATTTTGTAAACAAACATCAGAGACCATGACTATCGTAAAACTGATCAGCCATCACATAGCGGTAAGTGGTGTTAATTTTTTACATCGTACAAATGATCAAGCACATACACGTATTGATCCATTGTATAATGGTCATTGCCTCTACTGTAATGTGGCTTAGAAATAAAGAAAATATAACATTTAACTATAAAAAAAAATGAAGAGCATGGGCGTGTATGTGTGGGAAGTCAATGTTTGTGTGTAGAGGCAGTGAGCAATAACTGCAGACAACTCGCCAGTCTGCACTCCCTTCCTCTCCCCCCTGATGTGAGTAAGCTGGGTGGCTGCCCAACTAAGTGGCTGAACTGTGTTACTTCACCCAGAGGATGGTTTGAGTGTAGAAGGAGCTATTCTTTGTACATAAACTAATATTTACTGTACCAATAAATATGAGGAATAAATAAAAATTATACTGTGCACAAAGCACTTGAATTTAACTCACCACAGATGATGTTGAGTAATGTGTGTGGTGAGTTTTATATCCGATATAATTTCTTTACAGGTTATTTTAGCACTACTGCTTTCATTTGCACTAGATGGCCTCTTTCCACTCATCTTGAATAAGGGTAATACACTGGACAGTCTTAAATAAGATATGTAAGTACAGGAAGTATTAAATCTAAGAACTGCGGTCAAGAGATCAAGCGTACACGCTGGGTGATAACAACACACTGAGTTGGCGTTGGTACACCAGCATACCCACGCTTGGTGGTAGCAAACACCAAAAAATCCACACCAAGTGAAATACAGTATAATTTATGTGATTTTTTCTATACTGCAATTTTTTTTTGAAAATTTACCCCATTTCTGTAAAGTCGAATTTCCAGGCTGTATCCTAATTTTAGTGGTCACAATTTATAAATTCCATGTGGGTGAATTTCTGCAACCTGCATTTTCATTAATTTGGGGATACCTGTATTTTTTAAAATGAGATTAATTACCTACTACAAAAGGGTAGGGATATATCGCAAGATAGGGTCCAACGATGTTGGCTATATACTGTAGTGTTAACGTTATGATGTCTCGCACTCAGGATGGGTTGGAGAAAGGAAACTCTTTATGGTGGTTTTCTTATATAAATATATTATATACAAAACAGTTTGGTGCTGGGAAGTTGCTGCGTGGTAGAGGAGTTGCTGTGCAGGAGCTTCTTTAGAGGAGGTGTTGTGTGTTGCAGGGCTCTAGGTAGAATAGTCTTCAACGGCGAGGCTGGGAGCTTATATACACGTCCAGCGGACGTAGAACCGGAAGTAAGCGTCGCCAGTGTCGACCCCCCCCCCCCTCCTTAGTCTAGATGTCTAGACTTGTCAGAGAAACTTGGCGCGAGTCTAGGCGGCTAGGCTTGTCAGAGGAACTTCATCGTGGCAGTTGTAGGGGAGAGTATCCACAACAATACTAAATCGCGATATATAATTACATGTAATCAATGGGGAAAATAGGTTTATGTTCTGGAGGCCAATAAAAGTGACTAAACTTGACTTAACGAGTTTATTTTCTTACTAACTAAAGCACCAATGAACACTAGACTCAGGAAGACCACACTCAGGAACACCAGACTCGGCAGCTAACGCGCCATCCCAGGAACACCAGACTAGGCAGCAGACGCCACACTTGCCTGACAATCCCACACCTACATAAACGAACAAACCAAAAATATTAGTTAGAGTACTTATTAAATCTTTTCCATTAAGCTTTCCATTCTCTTCACTTCACTTTTCACATCATTAGCAACCCATTTAACTAAAGCTCTAATGAACACTAGACTCGGGAACACCAGAGTCAGGAACACCAGACTCAGGAACAGCAGACTCAGGAACAGCAGGGAATGCCAGACTCAGGTGCTTGGAATTTGATTTCTGTTATCTTCTATCCACTCTGGTGTAGTAGTATGGAAATTAACAGACAGCATTTTTTATTGTTTATTTCAAGCAGAAAGAGTCCCTGATGAGGTGTTAGCCAAGTGTGACTTGTGTTACACCCGACCCTGCCAAAATGGAGGCATCTGCAGATCAAGCCCTGGCCAGGAGTATGAGTGTCGTTGTACTGCAGGTTTCCATGGTCCTGAGTGTCAGTATAGAATTGATGCTTGTTATGGAAATCCCTGCAATAATGGAGGCACCTGTAAGGTGTTTGAGACTGGAAGATATGCGTAAGTTTACATTAAATCAATGTACATGTGGAACCGTTGAGGCAATTTATAATGAAAACATATTTGATACTAAGGAAGCCCCTGTCTTATAATATTCAATGTTTTACACAGGTGCCATTGTCCCACTGGGTTTGAAGGTGGACGTTGTGAAGTAAACATCGATGATTGTGTTGACAATAAGTGTGTTAATGGTGCTACATGCTTAGATGGCATAAATTCTTACTCCTGCACTTGTCCAGCTGGTTATACTGGTGAATATTGTGAAAGGAAGATAGCATTCTGTTCGAAAGAATTCAATCCTTGTAAAAATGGTGCCAGTTGCATTGATCATGGGACAGGATATGAGTGCCAGTGTAGCCTTGGCTGGTCTGGTAACAACTGCACCGAAAACTTGGATGACTGTGTTAATCACATGTGTCAGGTGAGTCACAGATTATAGGAAAAGTATTTTGTAAAATAAAGAATTATGGGATACATGACTTTTTCAATACAATTTGTCTCTCTGATAATTGTTTTGACTGTTAAAGAATTTAATTCCTTAAAGTAAAGGGTTGATAAATTTTTATTATCATAGGATAGGATACACTTATTCTTTTGTATTTCTTAGCAGTATTTGATAATTCATCTTTATTGTGTTTGATTATTTAAATGTCTTTTTGCTTTCATTCTCTTTCTTGTCTTGGGTGTACATGGGCCTCAGAGCTAACATACACCGATTGATTACAGCTTACAATTTGTGCTTTCTGAAACTTAATAGTGATCTGTACCTAATAATAATACTGTAATGCTTTCATATATTGTACTGTATTTACAAATTTCAAATAATACATAGTGCTTCTATACAGCATTGGCTCTATCTCATTTATATTTCTTGTTTTAAACAGAATGGTGGACAGTGTGTCGATGGTGTGGGCGATTACGAGTGCAAGTGTTCAGGTGACTGGAGTGGTCGATATTGTGAGTTGGGCCCCTCTGTACTTCTCCAGACAGAGCCTTGTCTCCAACATGACTGTCGCCATGGAGTGTGCATTGTGCCACAAGGAGAATTGGAATATGTCTGTAAATGTTCTCCAGGTTACTCAGGTAAGGGAGCAAACACTTTATGCAATTTTGTGTGGTTGTTTAAGATAATGTGCACACTGCAGAAGTTCCTTTTATAAATGTTAGATACCTGATAGCCTAATTTTTATGAATAGAGTTAGTAAGACTCACTTTTTTTTATGATGTCGATGATCTGACAAGATCATATGAGGTGTTGTGAGTAGCAGGGGCGAGCTGACCAAATGTGAAAATCTGTTTTCTATGCCTCCTGGTAGCTCAAACCATGCTCTTTCATGTGCAATCCAGGAACACAGGGTTCTTGCCCTTTTCTCCCGTCAAATTAAGTTGAAGGACATTAAGGATCTGATGACCTACATACCAACCGAATACAAGCATTTCTATGTGGACCTGGTGAGTGAACAGGAGACATAGGATGCTGCAGCAGTCATTGACGATGAGGTCCCCCCCCAACTTTTTAGGCAAGAAGAATGTCATGACTGATAATGATGAGTGTGACTGTTTTGGTTCTTACCTATTCTGACTGTGTTTTTTATGTATTTTTGATGTCACCTTGATTAAAGTTTAGCATATTGTAAATCCATCTCATAAAATATTTTATTAGTTTGTATTATTTCTGTACAGGTAGATTTTACCATTAGCAATATTATGTTATGTTATACAGCAAATTTTTCACAGACATATGAGTATTCATAATGTATTACCCCAAGCTATTAAATACAGTAAGATAAAATGAAAAAAAAATGAAAAAAATTTGCAGGAATTATGGACCAAAATAGGAAAAAAATAAAATGCGTTTTCTCAAAACATTGTTTTCGTCAGCTCGGTCTTGCTACACGCAACGCTTCATATTTTGTATTGATCACCAAGTACAAAATGATGATCACCAAAACTTTCATTAAGTTTCTTTGCTATTAAAGCAAAGAATTGGAATTGAGCTTTTGGGTTGAAGATGATTGACATTTGCCGGTAGATTTTTTTTTTCATTTGGATTTCAAGGTCTATCCTGACCTAATAGTTAAAGTAACACACAGACCAGGACTTAATTAGTGTATATATTATTCTGTATTGTTAGTGTACTTCATTTTTGTTCTTTCAACTTACACCGTAGTTGGTACTTGGAAAATGAAAGTACTGTACTGTATCTTCTACCATACTGTAGTATACCCTAAGATTCTCTTTTTCCAAGCTAGTTTATCTAAGCTGTTAGAAAGATTTGGTATGATTTTTATATAGCCCTTAAAGTTACCCCATGAAACATCTTTTCCAAATAGCTAGACAGTTACCCACCTCTGTGGTGTTTTCAGCAAAGCCCAAAAGTTTCCTTGCATGATTTTTATTTCAATATCGCCATTGATTGCTTGAAATCTGTCTCGTAGGAGAAGGGATAATAGGTTGGCAGTCATTTGTTACAGGTTTTTTCATTATTAGCTCATAATGACAAACTTTTTCATCTCTAATTATGAATCAGGTGCACAGCCTGACACCCCTTTAAGTGGTAAGTTTTTGTTTTATCATTAAGTGTCTCATTTTTTAGCTCTTACAGTATTAATTTGATCCCAGAGAATCACACTAACTGTGGTGATGGTGATCAGGTAGTAAATCATCATATTAATATATACCGAGATAGAATAATTTCTCACAAGTTCAAGACACCAAATTACAACTTCTGTAATGCATTTCAGTCTTTGCACTTGCACAGACCCAGGCTATACATATCTTAAAGAAATTCAACCTCTTCCTTTATACTTAAAATATTTCCATTATGATTTTGATGCTATCTTATACTGCCACCAAAATGTGTTACACAATCATTCTTCCTTATCTCATGTCACATTCTGCACAAACTCACATTTGGAAAATGCAGTATTTATAATCTTCTTAGGTAGCATGGACTACACACTTCTTCTGGAAACTGCACTTTTTGTACACTTTCAAATTCTTAATAATAATAAGCCATTGATGAAAATAAGTATTGCATGGAGTGAATATCACTGTGTTTATAACAGGCTCTTCATCTATTGAATCAATATAGCCATTCTTAATTGTGAATATAAAAACTGAACATATCAGATTTATGTTTACTATCATTATAGGTAAATACTGCCAGCATATGACAGCTCTGAACTTCATTGACTCAAGCAGCTTTGTGCAGCTGACGACCCCCCCAGTCAAGCCATCAATCAACGTCACCATAAGCTTCACCACTCGCATAGCTAATGGAGTTCTTGTTTACCACGGCAAAGATAGACAACACTTAGCTGTAGAAGTCTTTAAAGGCCGTCTTCGAATCAGCTATGATGTAGGCAATCATCCAGCTTCAACCATGTTTAGGTATTTCACTATACCCTGTACTGTATTTTTTACATCTCTATAATACTATAACTGTAGAATGGGTTATAGTATTAAAAGAGTGTTAATTTCCTCATAAAGTGTATAAATACTTTACACATATGACTAATTGTTAAAGAGGAAGCATGTAAAGGCAGGACCTAGGACATCAAACCACACAAGCCTACATTATGATAACATCTAGCACAATGCTGCCAAACACTTGGGATATTGATCTTGCTTTAGAATTGGAAACATTCAGTGATTGCCTTCTATATGCAGCATTTAAATAACAGTTCATGTATAAATTAAGTCATTTGCCTTGAAAATGAAATTAATAATTTAGAATAAAACAGCAATTCATTGTCACTGCCCCTGAATTCATCAAGAATAACTAGCTTTTGCCATTCTGGTAATATTTTATTCAAGGTACATACATAAATGTGCATTCAGTTCAGTAGGGATAGACGTAAGATGTTAGTGCCTGAAAAAGTTGCTAGAAATACCAGTAGCCAGTTGCAGAAGAACAGGTCAAGGATAGGTTAGTTGTCAGGGAGGTAAGAATTTTGTGAAAAGATTTGACAGTGTTCAGCAAGGCAATGATAATTTTTTTTTATTAAAAGAATTATTAATTCACAGCTACGAACTTGTGAGTGATGAATCAGAACACACAGTTGAGTTACTTTCTGCTCAACAAAACTTCACCTTAAGGGTTGACGGTGGCATTGCACGTTCCATGGTCAATGCTGGAGACCAAGAGTATCTGGAAGCAGACACCCCAATCTTCTTAGGTGGTGTTCCTCCCGATGTGGCCAGACATGCTCGTGCTCACTGGCACCTCAGAAACTCTACAAGCTTTAGAGGTGAGTCATAAGTATTGTTATGTTTATGGTAAATACTAGCATTTTTCTTGTCCAAGTACAGTATTAAGATATTGAAAGTTATTTTTAGTTATTTTGCTCTTACGTTTAATAAAATGTATTCATTAGAACTATGAAACTTTTCCTTAATGGGATGGTCAAGGTTATATACCACCTGCCTTATCCCAGTCTATGCATGGGAGCTATAAATTTCTCCATAGATGTCTAAGTGCTAATGTTGCATGGTTACCTCTCTCCCTATGTATGTACAGTATACAGGGAAAAAAAAATTAACACTTACCTAAGTGTTGATGAAACAAGGTTGGCTCCCTCACATATATTTAAAAAATCATTTGATTATATTATATACAGTACAGTATACTGTGCATTTAAAATTTAGCTTATTGTACTTATGGATAGAAAATACAGTACAGTGTACACTGTACAGTCCAGTACAAGAAAACAAGAATACTGTTCGTGTTCTGGGTATTAAGTTCTGTATACAGGAGCGAACACAAACACCTGTATAGTTTTTCTAGGTTCTATTTACTGGATAAGAGATATGTACACAAGGGGAGTAGCGCTCCTTACTCTGTCTGCTGGTCAACTGCTCTCTAGGCGACGTTTGGTAAGTGATACATAAACAGCTTCCATATGTCGCCAGGCACATTAATTAAGCATGTGGGACATTGATAAATACATTGCCACACGCTACTAGCTAGGCTAAATAAATAATACATAAATGGAGCACATACATAATATACATAGCATAAAATAAATACAGCATACAGAATATACATACACCTCCCTCCCCCCTATACGCTCATAGCAAAGTCTTGAGCGGACCTTTTCTTTTGGATCCGTTCTGAGCGTCGAGGGACTTGATCACTGGGAAGGGTATGGGACTCAACACTGGTGGCGGGGTCAGCAGAAGTCGGTGTTACGGGGCGGAGAAAACGGCAGTTGCTCCACCGCACACGACCACTGGGTAATCGCACCTGGTAGTCCCGTGACCTACCGAGACCCATGACTACGCCTACTTTGTCCCAACGTAGGGAGGTCGGGTCCTGAACACGGACTTGGGTGCCGACACTCAACCTGGGGAGAGAACGGGCGTGGTCGTTGTAGCGGGCGACGACGTCTTGAACACGTTCGGCGGCTCGGCGATCACAATCCTCTGTCCTGGCCTGCCACTCCTTGGAGAAGGATTGAGGGTGAGCAGGGACACAAGAACGAAGGGGGCGTCCATACAAAACCTCGGCAGGGGAGCGTCCGGTGTAGTTAGGTGTGTTGCGGAGTTCAAGAAGACCCCGGTCGAAGGCCTCGCAGTCAATATTCCCAGAAGGGGCCACCTTAAGGATGAGGTGCTTCAAGGATTTGACAGCAGCCTCAGCGTGGCCATTGGACTGCGGGTAATGGGGCGATGACAACACATGCCGGACTCCCCATCGGTCAAGAAACACAGCAAAGTCCCGGCTTGTGAACTGAGGCCCTCCGTCGGTTCGCAGGCATACAGGAACGCCCACGTCACGGAAGTAGTGGCGGAACTTGCTGATGGTGGCGGCAGACGTCGTGTCATTACCGCACTTGATGACAACCGGCCAACCAGAGAGACGGTCGACGATAACAAGGAAGGACTTTCCTGACACAGAGAAAAAGTCGGCCGACACAGACTCAAAGGGGCGGGTGGGGTTGTCGTCACTCATGAAGGGTTCCTGCTGCTGGCTGGGTTGTAATACTTGGCAGGGCTCACACGCACGGACAACATTGGAGATGTCGGAGTTGATACCGGGCCAAAACACAGTCTGTCGTGCACATCGTTTGGTGGCCTCAGCTCCACGATGACTGTCGTGAAGGCGAGCCAAAACGTGGGGACGTGATGCAGCAGGGACAACTACACGTGCTCCGTACAGAACAAGGTCTCCGTCGCAGTAGAGTTCATCGCGGAGTTTCCAATACGGGAGCAGGGTGTTGTGAAGATCGTAGCGGTTGCTAGGAAATACATTCCTCACACACTCGACGAGTCGGACGTAGGAAGGGTCATCTCGGGCCGCTGTTCGAAGGTCCTCCATTGCCTTGTCGTCATCTGGTGACAGGTCCGAACAAAGGGATTGGACGGCGTGTAGAGTGACCACAGTCCTGACGGAAAGAGCGAGGTCGGCGTCAAGCACTTGGTCTTCTGGAGTAGGGCGGCTGACAGGAGAGCGAGATAAGGCATCAGGGATGCAGAGCTCCTTACCAGAACGCCACACTGCTGTGAAGATGTACGCCGAGAGCTTCTCTTTCAGACGCTGAGGCGAGGGTTCTCAACGGCGTCCAGCATGTAATGGTTGAGGATCGGAACAAGCGGGCGATGGTCGGTCACTCGGTGAAAGTGTTGCAGGCCTATAAGGTAAAACCTGCACTTGGACATCGCCCAAACCACAGCCAACAGCTCCAACTCAATAGTGGCGTAGCGCATCTCGATATCAGAGAGGAAATGCGAGCCACACTGGACGAGCTGGAACTGCCCTCCACCATGATCCTGCAGTAGGGCGTATCCCACGCTGTACAAGCGTGAGGCATCTGTCTGCAGAACCGTCGGCAAGGCTGGGTCAAACGTTGGGAGGACAGGTGGACTAGACAGGGCCAGTTTCACTTGCTGGAAGGCCTTGTCGTGGTCGGGGGTCCACAGGAATGTCCTCTTGGGGCTCATCAGGGGGCGAAGTGGTTGGGCAGCTGCGGAGATATCCGGCGAAAACTCTGCTAACTGGTTGACGAGACCGATGAAGGACCTCAAGTCGGTGATGTTAGCAATTTCAAATTTTAACAAGGCTTAGCTTTTCAGTCAAACCCACTGCTAACTACTGGAGAACTTCAAATCTACCACCAGAAAGCAAAAAGCCAGCATTTTAAACTTAAAGATCATGGATATATAAGAAATAAAACTAAACAAAATTAAGCATAGCAAGAGCATTTTCAACAATTAAAACTTACTCACTTGAGAACTTGAATGCGCATGTTCAAAAATAATTTTCATATGATTCTGAATAATGTCAAAACATTGAAAAACATTTAGTAAAATTTCAAGCCTCCTTGTCTCAAAGTCTCCAAGAAAAATAAATTTTGTTATCAGTCCTCCAGTTAGGCAAAATGTTTTCTTTTAAATTCTGTCCGTTACCCAAAATGCAAATGCTAGTATAGCCTCTGTTTATATTTAGAGTTATTTACAGTAGATGAAAATCAGTAAAATTGTTATCACTAAAATTGATTGTTTTATGTTTTATCATGAATTCCTCCTAGTGCCTGGTTAAAATATACAGTACAGTACTGTAAAATGTGTTTAAATCATTTATAAAAAGTTGAGTTTAAATTTTTATGTACTGTACTGTACTGTATACTGGTAGATCTATGAGGGATGTAAGATGTCTTATTATTCAGTCTTGGTTATATTTACCAAAAGAAAGGAAGTGACTATTTTTCTTTTCTGCATACTCAGTATTTGTAATTGTATTTACAGGCTGTATGAGTCGAGTGGAGATTAATGGGAGGATACAGGATCTGGCTGAGAGTGAAAAGCAAAACAAAGTAGTGCCAGGGTGTGGAGATGCAGAACAGAGAGACCAAGGTGCCATCAGACCCAGTGGACCCAGGGATCACACTACACCAGCACCCAGGGTGGCCAGACCAAAGAAGACAAGAGGTATAGTGTAGTTAAATAGTTACATTAAAACTGTGCTGTTTATATGGCTTTTTTAGAAACCACTACAATTTCTTTGGTGAGGTCACAAGGCTAGACAAAATATGCTTCTTTGTCATCATAATATAGATTAAAAGAGGTGTAGCTCACTTAGGAGTTATCTGAATTTCCAACTCTTAAAATATGAGTTTGATCACCTGACTAAATAGGATTGGAAAGGTATTATTTTTAGTGGTGTGCACAGAGCCAATTACAATACTGTCTTTAAACAAAGTGGCTGTTTTACCGGGATTCCCGGCTGAATAGCCATCGGCTATTTGACCGGAACCTACGGCGATGGCTATGGGCATTATATTGGTCATTGCACTGTTGCAGTATTTAAATATTGAATGCTTTATCTCCATTTGCTTTATTCACTTTCTGATACCCTGAGATGTCCCACTTCTCTCAAGTATATATATATATATATATATATATATATATATATATATATATATATATATATATATATATATATATATATATATATATATATATATATATATATATATATATATATATATATATATATAAAATCAACAATTGATTTACTTGCATATATATATATATATATATATATATATATATATATATATATATATATATATATATATATATATATATATATATATATATATATATATATATATATATATATATATATATACAGCTAGACCCCGACTTACACTGCTTCGACTTACGACCGACTTACGACAGTTGTGACCATTTTTATTTTTTATTTTTTTATTTTTCAAATGACACACGCATTTTCTATACCAAAACGTTTCCAGTTAAAGTAGTCTCCATGTATAATTAGAAAATTATGAGGGCCCCATGTGCATTCAACTGACTACATTAAAGGTAAGTGCTCAGTCACACTGTATCCATTCCTCATTATTTATTACTTTCACTGTACTGTATCCATTCCTCATTATTTATTACTTTTACTGTACTGTATTTCATTGTAGATTTTTTATTAAAAGATTTTTTTTTTTTTATTTATATATCTATGTTGGACTTACGACCATTCGGACTTGTGACCTGGATTTGGGTCCCTAACCCCGTCGTAAGTCGGGGTCTAGCTATATATATATATATATATATATATATATATATATATATATATATATATATATATATACAGGTATATATATGAATTACACGAAAGCGCTTGGGAACTTTGTGTTTTCTTCTTTCCTTGTGGTTATCAGCATATACCTGGATCACACGCACCCACAGTGGTTTACTTGCATATAGTAGTAGGTTTGGTTAGATTAGGTCAGATTAACATTTTTTAAAGACTATACCTGATAACTAAATTGTTAAACATTTGAAGTGTTAGTTTTCTTAACAAATTGATTTAAAATTTAACATGACTTCATCGTTCTTGTGCAGTATCCTTAATTTTGCAGATACTTTATTACTGTATTTCAATTTTATAATTTTTTCTAATACCCTGTAGTTTGAAATTATCAATAAAATAATATGTAGTACATAGTTTTATTTTAGATCCTGGTCAAATAATCAGTGGTTATTTGGCCAGATACCAATCAAATAGCCCCTACCCTCATAAAAGAGCCTGAACTAATTTTACCATTCACATGTAAGGATTCCCTTTCCCTAAACAAAACTGTGTGTAATTATATTCAAATATTTACATGTAATGTTTGAAACATATTTGCTACTTGTTTAGCATATAGTAAATGGGTTGTCCTTAGTGACTATGGAAACACTTTTACCTGTGTTTTTCTCCCACTGTTTTGATGCTGCCCCATGTATGGCAATCTACCAGGCACACTTTTAAATGCCACTCAGCCCTGTCTGTGCAGTCCCACTTCATTGTCTTTTATTCTTCATTTTTGTTAATTTTATCTCTGCATATACTGTATCCTTTCATCTTTTTTATGTGTACTTTTCAAAAAAGAATTGATCGTGCAAAATATTTTTTTTAATCTTAACAGACGCAAAATATTTTTTTTAATCTTAACAGACTAGCATGCATATTTTTTCAGAGAATATTTTTTGTGATTGGTGGTACCTCAAGAAAGTGTGGTTGTAAATTAGTTAAATTTTTTATAGTCCATAGGTTGCATTGACCATAAAACTTTGAGTGTGAGAAACTTTCTACATAAATGTAGTTGATCTTAGAATTGGGAATTTGAATTTTTTTTCGTAAAAATCATCGGCCTTAAGAATTGGTTGTTTCCATTGTCAGGGCAAGCCTAAGTTGTAGGTGTTGGAATATCTTGACAAGGTGTCAATTGTTTTGGTAGGCTTAAGGGTTGGTTGTTCTTTTGTTGGAGTAGTATGTGACTATTGCAGGTCAAAAGGACCCTTGTTCTAGTAGGGCCATAATTTAACCTAACCCTAACTTTGGTGGTTGGAGTTTATAAAGACAGCCCCAGTCCTTAGGGCAAAGCTATTTTGGGCTGGGATCTACTAAGACCAGCAGGATATCTTACAAGACATTGCATTTCTATATGATTAACCCTTAACCCTCTCGTGGTCTTTCGATGCAAATTGCGTTGCTAAGCACTCCCGTGCTGGTGCAACCCCTCCCATTCAGCCATATCGCACACTGAGAGCACCCTTCCTGCGAACAGAAATGCAGCAACAGTGGACCAGTCTTATCAACCACCTAAGTTCCTCCCACTAGCCTCTTGGGCTGGTAGATGCATCTCTAAGGGTGCAATTTGGATCTGGATTGCTTTACCCTTTACCCAATGTTTATGGAAAAAACGTTCTTGTAACCGATGCAACCTGCGTTGAAAGACTGTGATGGGGTGAAATTTTCGACCATGGCCAAGAATACCAGAGGGTTAATGTGAGGGTTTCTAGGGTTTTAACATAAGCCTTAAGCATATGGTAATCAATGCATGTTTAAGGCAAAAAGTTATTTCAGTACTGTAACCTTTTCTCACAGTAATTTTTAGAATATTATCTGCTGGATGTTGAAACTGATGTTAAATTATGATTATCATCTTCAGTAGAATTGAATGAATGAATATATGGATGAATGAAAATATAAAGAAAGTGCATGGGATAGTGACTTGTTGAGTGGCAAATGTAAAGCAATACAAAACATTACCTTCATAATACTGTATTCACACATAAACAAGCAAGTTTCACAAATCTGGTGTTTAGGATGTGAGCCAAGAAGGATTTACTGGAGATGCTCCAAATACCTGTAGTACAACTTTTTTTTTCTAAACAATACAATTTTTTTGCTTAGGAGAAAATGATGCTTGTGCTGATCATCAGTGTGAAAATGGTCATTGTCGTGCTCGTCAACGTAATGGTGGTTATCGTTGTAGGTGCAAGAAGGGATGGAGTGGCAAGTTCTGTAACCAAGGTAACATATCACCATGTTATTTGTAGTGATAAGTTATCAGAGAAAATATCAAGAAAATATGTCCTGTACTGTATATAATGTATTTGTTAAGGGTTTTGAACAGTGAGATGAAAAAACTTACTCCTCTGGGATTCTCTTGAACCAAAATTTCAAGCATTAAATATATTTGGTGCTGAGGTTTAGGTACCAGGTAGAAGGTCTCATGGTTTTGGTGAACAACAAATGTACAACATTATCTCCAGGAAAAATGGGGTCTTTGTTTCAATTTGTACCTCTTTTGTTTGCGTCACATCTTCATACATCACAATAATGTTCAAAGATACCTCTTTCCATATCAGTACTCTCCTCCCCAATCTTCCAGCTTTTTCCTAAACACTCCCACCCCTCTTCTTTTCCTTTCTTCCATGTCTCCATTCCTTTCCCATCTTTTTAATTCTCCTTCCCAAGTTCTCCCCTTCCTCTTTCACTGCTACCTTTTCTTATTTTCTTCTCTCATATCTTCTTTTCCTACCCTCTGCTACTTCATCCCCCATTCTCTTTCCTAACTACTTCATCAATTTCCTCTTTCCCACAGTCTTTTTATCCACCTCTTCTTCCTTCTCCCCCTTTTTGTATCCCTCCAGACCCCATAAATATCTTTAAAAGACAAGCATCTCGGCTTACTTATTAATGGAAAACTTTATACTTATACGGTTAATAGATTACAGCCAAACATTCCTTTTAAAACAAGAAAATGCTCCAGCCATAATAACTACTGTCTACAGAATTTATGACTGGTATCATAAGAATATACAACATTGAATATCTGTCTTACAGATAGTAATGCTTGTGCAGCCAACCAGTGTGAGAATGGGAGATGTCGGCCACGCCGCCGCGCTAGTGGTTATCGATGCCGGTGTAAGAGAGGGTGGAGTGGAAAATACTGCAATCAACGTAAGTGGGAATTTTTGTGTGTGTGTGGATATTGTTAACACTCTCGGGATCATACACGCATGTGGCGTTTTGTTTTAATGTAAATGAAACCTTTGCCTTGCAATTACAGTAGACACCAGTATGGCTTTTTTTTTAATTTACTCTAAATGTTTCTGGTTGAATTACTTCAACTCTTTTTTAATTGGCATACATTTATATTTTCATACATATTTTCTTTCTTTTTTTTCAATGGCTTTATAAGGAAACGACGTTCATAGGGGATTTTGTGTTCCGAGGAAAATTTCTCTGAATTTTCTGGAAATATGCATTATTTTATCCTAGAAATTTGCTCTCAGACCTGTAAAAAAAAAATTAAGAGAATTTCAAGGTTTTATCAGAATTACACATTAGTATTTCATTCTTGAAAAATGCTTCCAGACCAGGGGGAAAAATGGAGTTTCTGGAAGTCTTCTCAGAATTTTCCAGAAAATGCATCTGATTTTCAACATCAGAATTTGCTTCCAGACCCAGAAAAAACAGCTTGGAGAGATTATCTGGAATTTCCTCTGAAACTGCACCTTATTTTTCACCTCGGAAACTCTTTCAGACTCGGAATTGAATTAAATTTTTCTGGAAAATTCTGAACCAATTTCATTTCCGGATATTGAAGAGTTCCAGAGATACAATATTATTGTACGTATCGTACCCAATATAACTTTCTAATTACTGGAGAAGAAAGTACTGTACTGTTAATTTTCTTTATACAGTATCTCACAAATTGTCTGCCAGGAATAAATGGGTCACTGTTTTCCAGTAATGTACATTTCATCGTGTAACAAAACATGCTCTGATGATTACTAATTGTCTTCCTCCTCTCTTTATAGCTCCATCATGCCGCAGGGAAAGAGAAAAGGCTTTTGTTTATGACTATGGATGCCGTTCACGCCGCCCCATTAAACAGTATACCTGTAATGGAAATTGTGGGAAGGACTGTTGTCAAGCAAAGCGATATCACAAAAAACGGGTAGCAATGATTTGCAATGATGGAACCAAATACATAAAGGATGTTGATATTGTACGCAAGTGCAGATGCTCACGAGATTGTGATGGCATGTAATACAGTATAGAGAAAGACTGATGACAATGTTTAGATTGACCAGTTTCAAGGAATTGTTTTGTAAAAGTGTGAATCAACATATACAACAGAAATCTGCTAAACACAGTATATACACAGTACTTACAGTGCGGGTAAATTATTCGACCATAAAACATGAATTATTTGTTAGGTACAGATTGTGTGAAGTTAGAATGGAGTTACATGCTTATATTATAGCATTTATTACATACTCAACCAGAAGCTTTACGTGCAGTGAACATGTTTGTGTACATAGTCATACTAACAATTAAATGTTCAGCAGTGTCTGAATTATGATAAGCTTTATATATATATTCTAAAAATAGATTTTATCCTGACACTTCCTGGGTTCTGTGACTGGAAAATTTAATAATTTTTTGATAAAGCGATGTGGCACAGTTTCTTGACAAATAAAACTATTGTGACATGTTGATATCATGATTACATGTGAAAAGAACACATGATAAATCAATAAGTGATATACTGAAGCTATCTTATTTACTATGAATCAAATATAAGGAGAAGCTGATACCATATGCTGTTAACCCAAGAAAATATACTAGTGAGTGATGATCATGAACATTATGTGAAGTGCAAATCTAGCTGTGGCAACATCAGCTGGCTTTATTAAAATGCCCACAATTATGTGATGGACACCACAATAATGCATAAATGATATGGCACTGGATCCATATTATGAAAGGGTTACATCTGTATTGGTGACCATTATGCCCTTAAATACTGCAAATCAACAAATCTTCAACAATTATTAAGGGCAATAAAGAAGCTTTACAGATCTCAAGAAGTGGCAACCTTATAAAATACTGTGGAAGGGTGTTTTAGTTAGTGTCCTTATGATAATAAATCTTATGTACTGTACTGTGACGAGAGTAGTTTAGGTCTCAAATATTGAATACAGCTTAGCTATCAAAATCAAATCACCTCTACCATAGTCTTGGGAGTGCTTCATTCATGCCTCTATTGATCTTCCTGAAGAAGGCAAAGTAGTGGATACTATAAGGTAGATATGGACATTGTGATTTATTGTATAAACATCACTGCCACCACCAAGGACATCACCCAAGTCCAGAATACAAAGCAGGTGGTGTATTCACTGTTGTCAGCAGCTTCATCTGCATCTATAAGTGTGGAAGGAGGCCTAGCATGTCTCCCACCCAGCCAGTGCTTCCTGGCTCAGCTAACATTCTGTCTGCCGGTATGTATTTTGACATCTCCACCTTTTTGGTCCTCCACTACACTATTCTCAAAACACATTATTCGAGAATAATAACCAAGACTGGCTCTAGAGTTGTCAGCACCCCGGACATCCACATTTTAATGCCCTAAGTCATACAGTACAAAACAATTTGAATGCAATATTTTTTTTCATTATGAGAAAAAACTACAAATATAGGAATAGTTTTTTATAGATATGACAGGTAAAAGAAAAAAGTTCAAATGTAACATCAAATATTAAAAATCTTTAATTATTATAACAAATCCAATAAATACAACATAAAATTTACTGAGTAATAGTAACATAATATATTGTTCAACAAGTTTATATGCCTCTGGTAATATCAAATCAACGATAATTAGATAAATGTTTCAGAGCATATATTTGGTACAGGTTGTACCTCTCTAGTCCGGCATTCTGTGGTCCGGAAACTCCCGTGGTCCGGAACGATTTTAGTTTGTCCAATAGGCAGCTTTTTTGTTTTTTGGTTTTTTTTTACTTATCTGAATTATTATTATTATTACAGGAGTATTAAATTTTTGCCCCTCAGGCCCCAATGTGGGTCGGTGACCTATGCCCGGGTGGGCTAATCCCCGTAAAAAAAAACAACGAAGCCGCGGGAAATTAAGGTTTGTTTACATACGGCAGTTCGGCTGCACTCTCTCTCTCTCTGCTTGTCTATACAGAGTACAACATTTAACCCTTCAATATATATATGAGCAGTAAATAAGTGTTGCTTTCATATTCTTATGTAGAGTAATGACGATATGTTTTCACATGTGTGCACTTACATACACGCAGTCTCACTTTTTTTTTACCATTAATGGTTAGCTACTTATATTGTTCCATTTGTTAACATTAAATAACATTACAGGTACTTCAAACAACCATATTAATTTTTTTTACATTAATTTTACTACAGCTACAATTAGGGTCTTATTTTCTTCAGTTTTATATGTAGAACCAATCAGTCACTGGTTTTGTAAGCTTTAACATAAACAATGCCGGCAGCCGTGTCGTCTCCTCATTATTAATAAATTGTATTGTTAATTTTGCACACACAAACATTAATTCAATAAAAACAAATTCAGAAACATTAATTAAAATATATATGAACAGTAAATAAGTGTTGCTTACATATTCTTATGTAAAGTAATGACGATATGTTTTCACGTGTGCGCACTTACATACGCGATCTCTCTTTTTTCTTTACCATTATCGTTAGCTACTTCTATTGTTCCATTTATTAACATTAAATAACATTACTTAAAACAACCATATTAATTTTTCTACACCTTCAACCAAGGTCTTATTTTCTTCGGTTTTATATGTAGAACCAATCAGTCACTGGTTTTGTAATCAACGAAAACAATGCTGTGTCATTTCCTCATGTGTTTTAATATTCTACGTATTATTAATGAATTGTATTGCTCATTTTGCACACAAACATTAATATCAATAAAAAAGACATTCGGTAATAAACAATAATGAATCTTTTGTACCCGGTACATAAGAGAAATGACGCTGTTTACACGAATATGCACGTTGTCTGCACATTGGCGGGCCGTTCAAACCCGTCGAAATTCAAGTTTCCGCCGTCAAAATTTGTATTTATTTTTTTCTGTGTGTGTTCCAATAAAATACGTTGAATTAAAAACTCGCGAAATTTGAGAAGCTACTATACGACATTAACCCTTCAATATGTCTTCAAAGAGACCATGATGCAGAGAAAGTGGTGCTAGTGCTTCCAAGCATAAGCACAAGTCACTATCTATCCAGTAAAAGGGTGAATTTCCATGGTCCGGCACCGGTCAGGTCCCGAGGTTGCCGGACTAGAGAGGTACAACCTGTACAAACGGTTAGACAAACAATTAAACCCTGTATGCTGTAATGTTATTTGAACTATTCTGTATTTTCAAAGATAAATATTAAGCCTGCACCATGACTTACATTTGTTTATTACTAAGAGAATGGTAATAAAGAACTTACAGGTATTACAATTTAGTAAAGTAAAAAAAATAACTGAATATAAAACAAAATAATAAATGCAACAACAAGACGTTCAAATATTTTCAAAACCTAACTAAAGATTGAGACATTACTTCCAGTTAATATCATTATAATAAAGGAATGCAAATTTCCTGCAAATACGGTAAATTAAAAAAAATATAATTCCAAATAAAAAATAATAAAGTGCATTATCCTAACTAAAAAAAATTCCTTGGCTTAAGATGTACAAATTTTATTCATAGCATTTCCATATCTGTATTTTTGATAAGGTCCATTTCTTTTGACAAAACTATTGACGAATTTAATCTTTCTTGCATCATGGAGGACCTTATGTCTATGTAATTTTTTTTTATTTACAGAACTTCTTTCTCTTATGGCTACAGTTACAGGTATCATAGCATTACAATATTGTTAATGCAACCAACAGATTTGGCATGATATCCTGTAATACTGTTGATGAATGTAACCAATTGTTTTGGAAGCTTTACATCTTCAGGAAATACATTTACTATACTGTACAGTATTTGCAATATCCAAAATTCGACATGCAAATCTCAGTTCATTTTTATCTGGTAAATGATTAGATTATACAGGGTATAAAAATCCCTGAAAGTTAATGAAAATTTGTAGCTGTTCAAATCTGACTGATAACAAAGTAATATGAACCACATGATTTTTTTATCAGCTTTCTGGATCGTTAACAAATTTATAGTCTTCATACTACCTTATCTTGCACCTTATAATTGTACATTTAAAATTGGCTCTACATTTCAGATCTGTAGCTAATTCTTTTGCTTATTTTAGTTTCCTTTCAAATCCATTTGCATGATAATTAAATTAATTAATTAATTAGTGACACTACTGTACAGTAGCTATTCATTTATGAAGCTACAGTAGACAGTTCCATAGAGTCTTTCTGTACAGTTTTGCTGCTAACTTTTATTCTGTTTGAGATATCATACCAGACATTCTTCATCTTTAGAAAATTTAAATCTTCCATTTGTAATGTGTGTCTGCCTTACGTTGTTTTGCAAGATGAGAAGCGGGTACAATATTTCTGAAAGGTTATAAAGAGCCTTTCAGATTCCTATATTGTACAAGCTTTTCCTAATTTGTGAAAGGGTTCCATTCCTTCAAGAACATTTCATAAATAAATGTTTCATATATTGAACCACATTTTTCCATATACTCCCATTATAAAAGCTGAGGTACACTTCGGGTCACGTCATATGACTTTGATCTTTCGCAGGCCTTTATGAATAAAAAGGGCAGACCTGGCTAGATTATGTTGCCAAGTAGGTATTTATATTTTACTCACTCACACATGAGAGCCTCCCAGTCTCTTCTCAGTAACTTTTCAGCTTTTGTGATGTAGGAATCAAACCCTGGAACTTTACATTTTACTTTTACTTGTATCCTTTTTGCACTGATCAGCTCATTTGCCACTTGGGCTGTCGGTCACATCTCTGTTATGCACTGTTGGCAAGTACTGGGCATGGACCGGCTCCGGAATGTATCTGAACCTGTTCCAAGAGTTCACAATTCTCACTCCAAAAAAGTTTGCCCTCACAGTTTTCTGGACTAGTGGATTCTTCAACCTTGAGCTGTGAATAGTAACCTATGAGATGTTTATAAACTTAGATAAATAAAATAATAATAATAATAAACGGTTTATTAATAGAGTTGCAGCCGGTGGCTGAAAATATACAGACTTACATTTGATTTAGACATAAGCTCAGTTGCAGGCATTCTAATCTCTCTGGGTAACTGAGGTGTAGTAGTTGCAGGCACCAGTCTGGTGGCCCTCCTTTGGACATTTTCAGTCAACTGACAGTCTAGCATATCACAGAGACCAGAGGGGGCTACAGTAACTCCAGATAGGGAAGCACCTCACTCTTAAAGAGTGTTAGAGGGACGTATCATTTAGATATTTGAACGACTGACTTATAAGACCTAATACTGTAGTTTAATTGCTTGATTCGCCTTCTTACAATGGCCCGAAAACTTCAGTTCGTTATCAGCATGCACACCCAAGTCCTTTTCACATTCGATCTCTATTATTGCAGTTTCTTGGTCCTCTTAGGACATGTGATACACCTCCTTACTGTTGTTTTGACCTAGGTGCATCCTCTTACACTTCGTGACATTGAATCTTAGCAGCCATTTCTTTGACCACTCTTGAAACTGACAGAGATCTTTCTGTAGCTCTTCACAGTCTGCTTGGTTCTTAATTTCCCAGAATAACTTGGCATCATTTGCAAACATTTGTTTCGAGGAGTATATATACCTTCTGGCATGTCATTTATAAAACAAACTACAACAACGGGCCCAGCACACTGCCCTGTGGTACCCCACTTGTCACTGGTACACATGACGATTTCTTGCTATTAATCACCACACACTGTTTGCGGTCGTGAACAAAGTCTCTGATCCACGCTAGGGCACTTCCCTGAATCCCATACCCTTCCAGTTTAATTCTCAGCCTTTCATGGGGTACGCTGTCAAAAGCCGTGGCAAAATCTAGGTGTATACTGTATTGTCGATATTACCACCCTGTTCCAGAATTTGAGTCCAAACATCCAGTACCTTGAATAACGCCCTAGCACAAGTCTAGTATCATGATCAGTTACTGAAGTAGTAATAATGATTGTTAATAGTGCAAATAGTAATATCATAGTAAAACACAAGTGTCCTGTACCTCATACTGCCTGCAAATTAGTGTTGTTTACCTCGTACTATTGTGTCACACACACACACGCCACTTCACGAATATACTCAACTCTTCTTAGCCCATGTTGCCAGCCTGTGGTAAGGCTATGTATTTATTTCCTGCTTGAGTACAATACTGCATTAAAGAAAAAGTATTTTAATTTATCTGGTGAAAAGGGGGTCCAGACCCCCAGGATCCCCCTTAGATCTGCCCTTGATAACTGTGATAAATCGAAACTGGAGAGAAGTGATATTACATGGATTAAAAAAACCTAAGAGTTTGTGAAATTATCACTTACGGTATCATGATAAGCATTACAATAATTTGAAAGTTTTGAACAATGTCTACGTTGCAAGTCAGTGAGTATTGATAATTTCAACTCAACATTCAATGTCTAATCTGAGTTATTGATCATGCTAAAACCATATATTTTGCATTGGTCAACTTCTATTTCATTTTATTTACTTATTTTTTTGCAAATACAACACATTGTAATAGAGGTCTGTGTCAGCAGATGGATATAATGCTTACCTATTGTGCTAAGGATCATTTGTTCACATTTGAAAAAAACCAATCTACCCACCTGTGTATGGGTATCTAACTTTACAAAGGGGGATGTGAAGATTGTCAAAACCATCACTGACCACACTGCCTCCATGGGTGCTGACAGAATGTATTATCTACAGTGTTTATCTGTACAGTCTCTAAGAGGGTGTCTGATCGAAAGGAACCACTTTTATAATGTAAAAATAAAAATATTTTGCGACATGCAATATTATTTTTTTTTTTACATTACGGATTCAAATAAATTCTGTTTGCATCTCAATTCATTATCAGAACTAATATATCTATGTAATGTAAACCTAATATATACTGTATTGTAATGTTCTGTATGCCAAAAAGCATAAGTTACCTTAAAATACCAGATGATATTGATCACATTATTATTGACTTCCCATTTGAATTTTGTTATAAATAAATTTATTCCTTGCAGGTACATGATCAATGCCCTGTATTCATCTTCGTCCAGTATTGGTGTCACAAGTTTGGTGTTGTCGTCTCCCAATTGTGTTGTAGAAAGCATCTTCAGTGAGGACAACATTATTACTTCCCTCCACAATGCCTAAAATTACTTTCTTTAATAAGTAATTAAGATATGTAGCTTGTCAAAATCTAGTTGAATTTTTTTTTCAATATCTATGTATTTGAAGTGTAAATCAGATGACCATCTTCAGAAAATATAGGAATAGACTGTTTCAAATGCTTCATATGGCTTCATTTATGAAATAATTATAATACTCATCAAAGTAACAGATCACAAGGCATCCAACATTTTCATGGTTTATAATTGAAAATCTTGATTTCTCTGTAATTGTGATATGAGTACATGTTATGTTACCTTTTAATTTACATTTTGTAGAAACAGAAAGTTAGTGATTGACCTCACTTTTATTTCATATTAGGACCCTTCTTCATACAAGATACAATACCTGTATTACAGTACTGTACAGTACTATACCGTAGTCTTATTTTTTGTCACACAAACTAGCTATAGAATTTGACTTTTTCATACATTATGCTGTGGTCATAGTAAAAAAAAATTTGTAGCATGCTTGATGATATGATTTAGGCTGATAACATGAATTTTGCATGTCTTCAGTAATACTGAAGATAGATTCTAAAAATACTACAATAATGAAGATGGGTTTAATCAATTAACTAAGTGCTGCATAGTATTTTAATAATGAATACATAAATAGCTAAATTTGAGGTACTGTATACATGCACTATTTAAGCTATTACCTTCAGATTCCAAGAAGAGGGGTCATTATGAAGAGCATCTTTCTGTCCTCTTTCATTATTAATTCATAGATAAAGGATTATGTAGAAATGTATTAACCAGGCCAAGAATGAGAAAATGCTCTAACTGAGCCAGAAGAGACAACATAGTAACAGTATATATGCTACTACAGTAACATATAAGTACAGCAAAGCCTAGCACAGAGGTGTTTTTTTTTCCCTACATGAAATGCTTACACTTCAAGACACACTGACATGGTCTACACTTGTAACTTCCCTATTTCTATAATGTTGCTCTTCAGGCTATAGTACTTTCCTCTGTCTTTTATGTACTGTATTTTGTTTACATTTAACTTACATTTTTCAAAACCCTGATTTTTTTTACATCTAGCATTCTGTTTTATTTACACTGCAAGAAGCATTTGGAAATTAGGTTGTTCATCCCATCATACAGAATCCTCCATCACTGTACTGAACATTGGTGTTGAGCAAATGATACCTGAGTTTGTGGAGGTGGTCAGCTATTATGATGTTTGGAACATGCTTAGCACTTGTACCCCATCAGTAGTGTTGAGAATAACGAAAGCAATTAAGATCAAAATTGACCCACTTCATTTTCTGGATTATAGGCTTAACCACTTATTCCCTTAATTTAAGTATACAGACTATATACAGTCAACCAAAGATGCACTGACCCTACCCTGGGTCTCATGCTTGCAATTTTACCTGGCAATGATTGGTAAAGTAAGGCTGTATGTAAAAGTGATTGTGATTGGTGGATCTATTTTTGGCTGTATCAATGTCAGGATAAATATTAAACCAAAGGTACCATTTTTATAAAAAATAAACTAATTATTGTTATTTTAGATCATGAAATGTTTCCAAATGTTTGTATATTTGCTTAAATAATTTAGAAAATTTGATGTGAGAATCTTGTGGCAGCTGTGGTTGTAGTCGGGTTGCCAATTCATTAAATAACGATGAATAGCTTCTTATTATTATAATTGTTCCTTTGGTTTGTTTAATATTTATCCTGACAGTGATACAGCCAAAAATAGATCCACCAATCACAATCACCTTTAGGTACAGCCTTACTTTATTAAGTATTGCCAGGTAAAATTGCAAGCACGAGACCCAAAGTTGGATCAGTGCATCTTTGGTTGACTGTACATATTGTGTATTGTAATTTAACGTTCATAATTGCAGTTGTTTGCCTTTACCAATACTTAGTAATAATAATTACTGTAATGAATTTCCTTAACAAATATTGTATAATATGTAACATTTGTTAAATGTCAGTTGTAAATGCTATGCCAGGTTTTGTGACAGCTGTACAGTATATATAGAATTAAATTAAATAATTAAATTGCAAAAGCAGGTTATGAAATAATGAATAACATATTTAATGTTGAGAAATGTGGTTGGAGACAGCCAATCAAATCTTCTCTGAATACAATAAATGGTTAAGAAAAAACACCACAGAAGCACTGCCACAAATATGGCTAATGTAGAGCTTCTATGCATAGAAATAACTAAAGATGTTAGCTACATTTTTTGAGTTTCCAAACTAAAATATTCAAACTTTATTTGAATTCTTAAATAATAAGACTATCAGGTCAAAGATATGTTTAAAACTGCTGATTTCCCCCCAAAAACATTACTGGTATCATTGTAATAAGTGGCCAAATACTGAAGGGTTATATAGATATTTGTTTTTTATTTTTTACAAGTCCATATATATATATATATATATATATATTATATATATATATATATATATATATATATATTATATATATATATATATTATATATATATATATTATATATATATATATATATATATATATATATATATATATATATATATATATATATATATATATATATATATATATATATATATATATATATATATATATATATATATATATATATATATATATATATATATATATATATATACACACACACACACGTTAGCTGGAATCCATCTTAGCCGGAACTCTCCAATAGCCAGAATTGGAATTTGCTCCGTTTTTTTTATCAGGAAAATTTCCCTCAATTCTGGTTTGGGCAACTATTTTGCAAGGTTGAAAATCAGGTGTATTTCCTTATTTCCTGGAAATTCTTTCCAGATTTCACTGTTCTGGGCCTGGGGATAAATTTTCCGGGAGTTCTGAGAGATTGCATCGTGCTCCAATGTGCCAGATGTGTGGATGACCCAGTTGCTTGGATCACATAGTTCATATTCTGCTGTCATTGAAGAAGGTTATTCCCTTGCTAGCTGCTGTTTTTGCATACAATTTTTGTTGTGCAGTGCTGTACATAACTGTACCAGAACAAAATCAGGCAAGAATACAGTTACAGCATTGTTAGGAACTTAAAAGTTATTACAGTTATGTATACTGTACTGCACTTTCAGTAAGTGGGAAACACTGGAGCACCTTAGCTTTCGTCTTTACTCAAGACATTTATGGGTCATGACACTCACTTATCCCCCACTCCAACAATGGGTGACCTGACATTGCATCAGGTCAGGTCAGTAACATGCCCCACTAATCCCCCACCCTACCTCCATCACAAGATGTGATTAGTTACATATTACATTCAACTGCTTGAACAGTGTCTGCCTACTCTAGGTTCAAGACAACAGCATCTGGTGGTGAGTACAGTATATACAGTATAGTAGTAGTATACATTATTTTGTTTACAGTATATTAACAATACTGTATATTGTAGTACGTGTACAGTACAGTGGTGTTTGCGTAATAAATACAACTCCGTACGAGATGTGTTGTTTAGACTCGAGAAAGTTTTCCTCGGTGAAGAGTGGAAAATTACACAGCCTCATTCATGCCTGTATCATAGATTTTTTTGTTTTGTTTTAAATATTTTTATCTAACCAAGGTTCTAAATAAACTATTCAGGATTATTTGGGTAAAAAAATGGTGTCTTACAGTACTTGAGGGCCAGGTCATGTAGTTGTGTTTGTATTTCATGCTGATTTCATCTCTTTGTATATTGTTCCTTGATATAAATAGTCTTACTAAGTAAATGAATGCATCTCAACTTATATAATGGGAGCAATAGGAAAAATGGTTTCACGACTTGGAAAGATTTTCAGGAACGGAACCCTTCCGTAACCGGGGGATGCCTGTATATATCTCGTAAGTAAAAAATAACCTCATCAGGAATGCATCTCCATATAGGCAATGCTACCAAATTCATTTTTCTAGCAAAATTAGAACAGATACTTGGAATAAAAATTTATACAGGTTTTCGCTAGCCATAAATATTTTTGTTCGTGCCCACTGTCTAGATGTAATGGGAGAGTGTTTTTCCGTGTGAGATGAGATGCACAGTTTAGAGTCAAGATGAGATGCGTAGTTTAGACTCTCAGAAAACTTTCCCCAGCACCCAGAAACATTCTGGGTTTGTGGGTTAGTGTCTGTTTGTGCAAGATGTGTACTTTAGACTTAAAGAAATTTTTCCCAGCAATGGAAAAATTTTCCTGGATAAGGGATTTTTCTAGGCTTGAGAAAGACGTTAACCAGAAATCACCAATAGCAGGAAAATTTCCAGAAAAACTCTGCTCATTCCGGGCATGGGAACAGGTTTTCGAGGATGAAAATCAGAGACATTTTCCAAGAAAATCTCTCTGTTCTGGACATGGGAACAAATTTTCCAGGAATACCGAGAGATTGCACCATACTCTGATGTGAACTCACGTTTATGTGGGCTAATTGCTTGGGTAACTTAGGCTGTAGGCTCATACACTTAGTTCATATTCAGCTGCCATTGTACAAGGTTGATCATTTGCCTTACTGCTGTTTTTGTATACAATTTGTGTTATGCAGTACTGTACATTACTGCACCAGGATGCAATCAGCCAAGAATACTGTCCAGTGTTAAAGCAGTGTTAAGACATAAAAAGTGATTTCCTGTACAGTTCCATATACTGTAATGTACATTCAGCAGAGTGGGCAATGTATGCCTACTGTACGTATGCTCAAAATGACAGCATTTGCTGGTGAGTACAGTATATACAGTACAGTACAGTATTGGTATACATAATTTTGCTTATCTAGAATATATTGTACGTGGACAGTAATGTTTGTGTAAATAAATACAGCTCTGTGTCTGTCTGTGCAAGACTCTGGAAAACTTTCCCCAGTACTGTACAGTACATGGTGAAAATTTCCAGTCGTTGCTGTGACACACATCTCCATTCATGCCTCGCACGCGTGTATCATATATCGTAGATTTCATGTTTTCTATATATATATTTACTTAAACACATTTTTAGGATTATGTGAGTAAAAAAAATGGTGGTTCTGACTTAATTAGAACTGATTTTATAGGCACCGGTATAAACATTTCTTAGTTTTTTTTTTTGTACCTGTACCGTTCATATAAAAGAATTGAGCCCCCATCATTATACGTAAGACTGCCCTAAGTCAGACAATATGGGGCTCAAGCTAGTCCGACTTATATGCTCCCCTCCTCCCAGCCTCCCGGGTAAATTTGACCACCATTTTGTTGAAAAATCACATCCAAAAACAAAATTAAAGGTAACAATACTTATTTACATTGTACTTACATTGTAGCAGATTAATTTTTAGATTATTGTAGCAGACAAATCTTCATGAAACTTGGGTTGGAGGATAAAGAGGGGTCGCTTAAACTTATTTTACTGCTGTTTCACTTATACCTGTACTATTTAGTTTCAGTTATATAATGGGAGAGTGTTTGTCCATGCAAGATGCATAGTTTAGACATTTAGACTCTCGGAATACTTTCCCCAGCACCACCTATGCATAGTTTAGCCTCTTGGAAAACTTTCCCCAGTACCCAGAAAAATTCCCGGGATGTGTGATTTTTTCCAGTGATGAGAAATTAGTCTTAATAAAGTACCCAGAAATCTCTCATTCAAAAAGAGCTCTGCACCAATTATTCCGGCTAACAAGGATATCACTGTACTGTACAGTATATAGGCATTACATACCAGGAGTGGAATAAGGTTATGGTTCAGTACTACAAAACAAAACTCCAAATACTTGTATAAAACTACAGTGGTAGGGTGAGGGATGGTTATTTGGAAATAAAATGAATTTTTTTGGGCAGCTACTAAACAAACAAGTGTGCACACAAGCATTACATATATGTACAAAATTCACAGTTTTACATATGTTTGCCCTCAAGCCAGTCCCTTACTGTTTTTTGTGTGTAATTGCATCAGTACTATATAATTGTTTAGGCAATGGTTTTCCTGAGAAATTGAATCGCCAGATACATTACTGTATTTTTTCTCTTCTGTTTATTTAAAAATAAGAAAGGATGAAAGGGCAGATAGTGCAGTAGTTCTATATTCCCTGGGCCAAGTTTATACAGCATCTGATGGGTGTCCTTTGTGTTAGAGAATGGTGATCAAGCTGATATGAGGAATCAAAAATATCCCTCTTGCTGTTAAAGATTTATTTTGTCGTTTATAAAATTATATAAAACCCTCAGATAGGTATTGCATCTGTAACATCTAATATTAAAGCTGTAGATGACAAGTCAGCTTGCTATAAACTGCCACGTCAACATCCAATTTATTTTCTCAACAACATGCACAGATAAAGTATTATTGATGTACACATTCTTTACTTTTATTTCCATTATTATCAGTCATAGATTTTTTTTACTTTCTTATTATGTTTAAGAATGATGTATTCTTCATTTTATTCAAATTATATATAATTATGAATAATTACTTCAAATCGTAAGCTTAAAACTATGACTCAAGTCTGTAAAATATATGTAGATACTGTGTGTTATATGCATAGAGGTTTATTTTTATGTTCAAATGTGAATGGTTCCATGCAGTAAATCATTCATAGCAAAATGTAATAAAAAGATGGATACTGAACATGCATGTTGTGCCATAGCTTATGATGGACCTTCTTAACATGATTACGTGACGTGTCAAACTCTTATATGTGTTCATTATCTATGTGTAATAAAATGTAGACTACTACTACTACATGGAATATTTGTTTAAATTCCTTTGCAAATTTAGATATTTCTTAGAGGTGGTGGTGCCCCCAGTGACCTTTCCAGGGACACTGTAGCTTCCAGGGACCATTGCTGTAGCAGCTGCTCACCCAGGGGCCCTGTCAGGGGTATCGACCTCCCCCAGGGGCACTCCCAGGGGTGGTGGCGCCACCAGGTCCCACTCGGAGACGGTGGCACCCCCAGGGACCCTCCCAGAGGTGGTGGCACCTCCAGAGACACTCCAAGGAACAGTGGCACCTGCGGGGACCTTCGCATGGACCCTCCCAAGGTCGGCAGTGCCCCTAGGTACCCTCATAGGGGCGGCAGCGCCCCAAGGGGCTCTCTCACAGGTGGCGGTGCCCCCAGGGGTCCTTTCAGGCGTGGTGGCGCCCCCAGCGACCCTTTCAGGGGCAGCGGGGCCCCCAGGGTCCTTATTTGCGACACTGAGCCTGGCATTGCCTCTATGGGGCGCAACCGCCCCTGACAGAGCCTCTGGGGGTGCCAGAGCCCTTGGCAGGGCCTCTGGGGCTCCTGGCTGCGCCACAGCCCCTGGCAGGGCTCCTGCGGGCACCGCTGCTCTTGGCAGGGCCCCTGGGGTCGCTGTTGTTCCAGGGAGGGACTCTGGGGGCGCCACCGCCCCGGGAAGGGACACCTGGGTCGCCACCTACCCTGGTAGGGTTCCTGGGGGCGCCACTGTCCCTGGAAAGGTCCATGAGAGCGCCACCGCCCCTGGCAGGGCCCCTGGGAGGATACCTCCTTTGGGAGGGCCCCTGGGGGCACTGCTGCCCCTAAGGAGAGCCTCTGGGTGCGCCGTTGCACCTGGAAGGGCCCCTGGGGGCGCTGGTGCCCCTAAGCAGAGCCCCTTGGCGCACCATTGCACCTGGGAGAGACCCTGGGGGCGCCACCGCCCCTGGCAGAAACCCTGGGGGTGCCACCTTCCCTGTCGGGGCCTCTGGGGGGCGCCACCTTCCCTGTCGGGGCCCCTGGGGGCGCCACTACCCCTGGGAGGGCTCCTGGGGTCGCCGTTGCACCTGGTAGGGCTCATGTGGGAGCCACCGTCCCTGAAAGGTCCCCTGGCAGGGCCTCTGGGGGCTCCACCGCCCCTAACAAGGCTTCTGGGGGCGCCAGAGACCCTGGCAGGGACAGTGGCGCTAACAGGGGCTTTGCCAGGGGCGGTGGCACCCCAGGGGTTCTGCCAGGGGTAGTGATGCCCCCAGGGGCCTTCCCAAGGGAAATGGTGCCCCCAGGATCCGTCCCAAGGACAGCTGCGCCTCCAAAGGCCCTGCCAGGGGCGGTGGCGCCCCTAAGGGTCCTCCCAAGGACAATGGCACTCCCAGGGATCCGTCCAGGTGCCACGGAGCACCCAGAAGCTTTCATTAGAGGCAGGTCCTGGCAGGGCTCCTGGAAGCGTCACCGCCCCTGCAAGGGCCCCTGGGGGCGCAGTTGCCCCTAAGGAGAACCCCTGGGGGTGCTGTTGCCTCTAAGGTGGGCCCCAAGTGGCAATATCCTACCGCCTTCTGGGGCAGAATCCTACCATCTTCTGGGGCAGAATCCTACCGCCTACTTGGGCAGAATCCTACCGCCTACTGGGGCAGAATCTTACAGCCTACTGGGGTAGAATCCTACCGTCTACTGGGGCAGAATCCCATCTCTACTGGGGCAGAATCCTACCATCTGCTGGGGCAGAACCCAACCGTCTTCTGGGGCAGAATCCTACCATCTGCTGGGGCAGAATCCTACCGTCACCCATTTAATTTTTCAAAAGTCTTTAAACTTCATAATAAAATAAACGTATTCAACAAATGTCTGGCTGGGTTCCTTCTATGCATTCCTAAATCTACTATAGAATTCATTGGCCTCTCTAACATTGTAAACAACGGCCTTTATCCTTTCAAGAGTCTCAGAAGCCTTATTTGACAACATCGTGACAAGTATCGGCAATAAAAAAGAAACTAAAAAAATGGTTCAACTTCACAGAATCTAAATAAAAGTTTCACCCTTTAAGTAAACCAAGCAGTATTTAAGTACTCCAGGCAATATATAAGTACTACCAACATATAGGCTTTACTAACGTACAGTATTGTTAATGAATGTGATGAGAATACTTCAAAGTTTGTAGTTATGTAGTAGATCTATTATTTGCTTTAGTTCCTCCTAAATGTATAATTTTCTGTAGTGCCCCAAGAACAAAGGCATATTTTCCTTCTTCTTAAAATCGTTTTCAGTTATTTCACATCAAAAACTCATTTTATTTTCACAGACTATTAAATGCTAATATAGTTTTATTTAAATGGTTATAAATGATTATTCAAAAGCCGGTTTTATATTTTCAACGTAAAAAAGTAATATGATAAGGAATGATATGGAGGTGAGCGGCATCTATGAGTTAACAGCGTCACTAAACCTTCATCACGGAGTACAATACAGAGTTTCTCGTCGGGTGTTTCTGGGATCCATCACCAACAGGAGCAGCCACTAGACAGAGAACCAAGATGGAGGACATTTCAAGTGTTCGACGACCTACCAGCCGGGGCGACGGTGGGTAGAGCGTTACCGTTCTTGCCTAGCATGGGAGATCTCACGGGTTCGATTCCCAGGCCGGTGGAAAGTTGTTCTGACACACTTCCCAGCCTCCCTTGGTCCCTGTTCACCTAACAGCAAAGTTGGTACCTGCTGTAAATCGAAAATTGCGAATTCGTATTCAGGGACAAGTTGTTGGAGCTTCCAATGACTTGCTTAAATATAAACCATTGACTCTTCAGGCTTCTACGCCCTTAAATCGTGAGACATAAAGGCAATCATGAACTTGGCATGCTTCCCTGTTGGGCTCTGTAAACTCTTCTGTGTTTCACCTTACACAAGGATGTAGGGGGGGTGCGCACCCAGGGGCCCTGCCAAGGGCGGTGGCGTTCCCAGGGGCTTTACCACGTACGGTGGAGACCAGAGGGGCACTCCCAGGGGCACCGGTGTCCCCAGGGGACCTCACAAGTGTGGTGGCGCCCCCAGGGGACCACCAAAGGGTAACGTCGCCCCCAAGGGCTCTTCTTAGGGTCAGCAATGCCCCCAGGGTCTCTCCTCAGGGTCAGCTGTGCCCCAAGGGGATCTTCCAGAAGCGGTGGCGCCCCAAGGAGCTGTGGTACCCACAGGGGCCTTCCCAGGGGCCCTACTAGAGGCGTCCCCTGCCTGGAGACTAATAGCTTTTGGTAGTAGTGTCGTATTGCACACGTCCAGCAATCCCTTACTTAACTGTGATTGGTGGACTAAAATGTAAATCCAAAAAACAGCCAATAGGAGAACAGAGCAGTCAGTCAGCAAAACACCCCAACGTATGTTTTCCTGTTGGATATATGTATTGTTCATGGTGTGATGATACTAGAAATGCGATGGGCGGTGTTTTTATTCATATCTCCAATTCATTGTTCTAAAACAACTGCCCCCACGGTCAATCCACTGATAGTTCCCCCTAAGGCCCTACTATTTGCCCTACCAGGTGCATCGCCCTTAGGGGCTCTCCCAGGGGTGTCGGTGCCCCCAGGGGCCCTGCCAAAGGTGGCGGCGCACCCAGGGGCCCTACCAAGGGTGGTGGCGCACCCAGGGGCTTTACCAGATGCGGTGGCGCTCACAGGGGCTCTCCCAGGGGTGTCGGTGCCCCTAGCGGCCCTACCAAGGGTGGCGGCGCACCAAGGGTCCATGCCAGGGGTGGTGGAGCACCCAGGGGCTTTACCAGGTGCGGTGGCGCCCACGGGGTCTCTTCTAGGGGCACCGGTGCCCCCGGGGGACCTTTCAGGTGTAGTGGCGCCGCCAAGGGCCCGCCAAAGGGGAAGGTCACCCCCAGGGGCCCGCCAAGGGGCAACGTCGCC